TACTAAGAGTGCCCCCATTTATTTAATTTACTAAGAATGTCTATATATAAACCAGAGGGATTATGGAGAATAAAAATGGTGCTAGATATTGGCATTTTCTGTTTCAACATGTTAGTTCTTCATTTTGTTGTTTTTCTTTTTCAAATTAAAATCTTTCAGAAAAGGCAACAAGAAAGGTATATATGCACACATGACACTTATGCTTATCTTACCACCTTCCTTTCTATTGTGTAAGTTAGAATGATACTTTTGCAACAAATGACTGTACTAAACCCTGAAATAATTTTGGTATAAACAATAACTTGATGTCATGTTTTAGGTTTGCAACATTGTGAATTTGTAGTGTGACTATGGGCGAAAAGAAACCAGAACCTTTGGATTTTGTAAAAGATTTTCAGGAATACCTAACTCAACAGACTCACCATGTGAATATGATTTCAGGCTCTGTTAGTGGGGACAAAGATGCAGAGACACTTCAAGGAGGTAAGTTAACATGGTGCAGCTGAGCTTTCATACATCTGTATAAATGAAAAGAGGCTCAATGTTTAAGAAATACTTTTTTTTCCTCTTTTCCTGTAACCTGTGCAATGTTTCCCAATAAGAAGCTTGATGTGCCTTTCTGTTGTTAATTGCAGCAGGGACTGAAGGTGATCAAAATGGATTAGATCACCCTTCAGTAGAAGTTCCACTGGATGAAAACTCAGGAGTGTTGGTAGATGGTTTTGAAAGAACTTTTGATGGGAAATTAAAATGCCGATATTGTAACTATGCCAGCAAAGGAACAGCACGACTCATAGAACATATCAGAATCCACACAGGTATCATCGTATCTGCATGTTTTATATTTTTCTAGTGATGTTACCGTATTTTCCGGCGTATAAGACGACTGGGCGTATAAGACGACCCCCAACTTTTCCTGTTAAAATATAGGGTTTGGGCTATACTCGCCATATAAGACTACCCCTCTTCCAATGCACACCAAATAAAAATTAAAAAACATCAACTGGCTCACCTACAATGTAAAAGCAGCTGTGCTAGACCCAAAATGGCCCCTGCAACAACAGGAACCTCACACAGCCACAAAAAGGCCCCCAAAAAAACTTTCACACTCTAAACACACACAACACAACACAACTGGCTCACCCACAATGTAAAAGCAGCTGTGCAAGTCCCAAAATGGCCCCTGCAACAAGCAGGAACCTCACACAGCCACAAAAAGCCCCCCAAAAAACTTTCACACTCTAAACACACACAACACAACACAACTGGCTCACCCACAATGTAAAAGCAGCTGTGCTAGACCCAAAATGGCCCCTGCAACAAGCAGGAACCTCACACAGCCACAAAAAGCCCCCCCAAAAAACTTTCACACTCTAAACACACACAACACAACACAACTGGCTCACCCACAATGTAAAAGCAGCTGTGCTAGACCCAAAATGGCCCCTGCAACAAGCAGGAACCTCACACAGCCACAAAAAGTCCAAAAAACCAACTTTCACACTCTACACACACACAACACAACTGGCTCACCCACAATGTAAAAGCAGCTGTGCTAGACCCAAAATGGCCCCTGCAACAAGCAGGAACCTCACACAGCCACAAAAAGTCCAAAAAACCAACTTTCACACTTTACACACACAAAATTCCACATACAGCTTTGTGAGATTTTGTGTGTTTGTGTAGTTAGAGTGAAACACTACAGAAACACACTAAATCTCAGAAAGCTGCACAAATATTATTTTATTTTATTTTATTTTTATTTTTATATGAAAGCTAAATTTAAAACTTCCTAAACTTTAAATGGCTAGGTCTAAAAAAGAACAACTAAAAAAACCCCAATTGACTATTTTTTTTAAAGCTCCCAAAGGGGAAAAAAACTTACCCAATAGAACAGGGGTCTCCAACCTTGGCAACTTTAAGACTTGTAGACTTCAACTCCCAGAATTCCTCAGCCAGCTTTGCTTTGCTGGCTGAGGAATTCTGGGAGTTGAAGTCCACAACTCCCTGCTTGCTTGATTGCTGATTGCTGATGGAATAGATTCAGGCAAGCGAAGCAAGGCAAGCGTTGGGACTAGCAGCTGAGGTAAGCAAGCTGGAGGGGGAAACTTTTTATCTTTTACATGGCTCTGGCCATCCCAGCTGAGTTGCAGGGAACTCAGCTGGGATGGGATCGACCGTCAGAGCTGGGACCGTCAGAGCCATGGTTCTGGCGATCCCAGCTGAGTTGCAGGGAACTCAGCTGGGATCGTCAGAGCTGGGATCGTCAGAGTAAAAGGGAAAAAACTTTTTTCCTTTTACATGGTTTCTGGCGATCCCAGCTGAGTTGCAGGGAACTCAGCTGGGATCGTCAGAGCTGGGATCGCCAGAGCTGGGATTGCCAGAGCCATTTAAGGCTCGTCAGAGCCTTTCGGGCTGGTCTGCCTGGTTACAGGAGAACGACACCCGGCGTATAAGACGACCCCCCGACTTTTGAGAAGATTTTCATGTGTTAAAAAGTCGTCTTATACGCCGGAAAATACGGTACACACTTTAATACATTGTATGTAAGCTATGTGTTTTTCTTTTATATTTTCCAACAAATGCTTAAAATTTAAATATGAGTTAAGGCAAGAAAAACAAGCCAGATTATATTTCTCATGTGGCAGACTTCTTAATTTTTTTGTTATTTTAGAAATAAGACTGCAGTTTAGATTTTGGATCTGGTCGGTTCTTGTAATTGTCAAGTATCTTAACTGCTTAGAATTTGATAAAATTCTTGGAACTCATCTCACTGCAATGCTTTCTTTCAGACTATTTGTAGTAACTTCTTGATTTATTAGGATGCAATTGCCATGAAAAAGTGATCAAAATAAAGCTTTCTTCATGTTTCTCCAGGTGAAAAACCACATAGATGTCACCTATGTCCCTTTGCATCAGCCTACGAACGTCACCTGGAAGCTCATATGCGGTCTCATACTGGTGAAAAACCTTACAAATGTGAATTGTGTTCCTTCCGCTGTAGTGACAGAAGCAACTTGTCTCACCATCGGAGACGCAAACATAAAATGGTGCCAATAAAGGGTACAAGGCCTTCCCTTAGTAGCAAGAAGATGTGGGGTGTTTTGCAAAAGAAGACCAGTAACTTGGGGTATAGCCGAAGAGCACTGATTAACTTAAGTCCACCTTCCATGGTGGTTCAGAAGCCAGACTATCTTAATGATTTCACTCATGAAATTCCAAATATTCAGGCTGAAGCATACGAAAGTATAACAAAGCCAACAGAGACTAGTGGATTGCCAAGAGATTCACAAGACCTTATGATAGATAACCCTTTAAACCAGCTATCTACTTTAGCAGGACAGTTGTCTAGTCTCCCCCCTGAAAACCAAAACCCACCATCTCCTGATGTTGTACCATGTCAAGATGAAAAGCCTTTTATGATGCAGCAACCTGCTGCAGCAACTTCTGTTCCAGCTGTCACAACCAGTATTCCCCAGAACTCATCCCCTACAAGTCCAGATCCTCGTCCTGTACATTCACAAAGAAATTACAGTCCGGTGGCTGGTCCAAGTAGTGACCACAGTGCCCAGGCCAGCACCCCAAGTATCAGTAACAGTCAACCAAGCACTCCAGCACCAACTCTTCCGGTTCAAGATCCTCAGCTTCTGCATCACTGCCAGCACTGTGATATGTATTTTGCTGACAATATCCTGTACACTATTCATATGGGATGCCATGGATTTGAGAACCCTTTCCAATGCAACATTTGTGGTTGCAAATGTAAAAACAAGTATGACTTTGCTTGCCATTTTGCCAGAGGCCAACATAGCCAGCATTGACTGATTTTTTAAATGTAGACCGTGCTTTCTTTTATTTATTTGTTTAAACACATTTCTGTTTCTTACGTAATTGGAAAGTTGCCTTTGGAGGAATCCAACTAACAATTTAATGTTGGATGCAGACCATTTATATTGTCATAATTTGCTGACAATATGTTTGCTAGTCATGGTGGTATTCTTTATACTGAGCTCCTCAAGCAAAAGTGAGGCTTACAGTGCAATTGTATCTTCTAGATAGGTTTTTTAGAATAACAAAGTGTGGATTTACTTTATATAAAAACGAAATCTTGGATCAATTCTAGTACAGCTACAATTCCTTAGGTTAGCCTGTGCCACAAAAGAGCCTATAATTCTGCTTTTCTCAAATTAGCCTAATACAATCAGTTTGGGGGCTGTAAGATTGTATGTGTGGGCCACCTGCTAAACTGCTAGAAAATTCTGTAAGAATCATCAGCAAACATGTCTACAAGAAAATTTAGAATTCCCTACGCCCAAAACCCTGTAATTGTAGTCAGGTGTTTAATGATGTTCCTTTTGTACATTGTGGAAAATAAGATACAAAAATATCCACTTTCCAGTACTCCTATCCAGTCTTGGGGGGTGGGGGAACAGAATACAACCAAATAATGCCTGGTGTTAAAACTTTTGCAACTTTTCAAAACTGTGGAAAAAGAAAACTTTAGAACAAAAATGGACAATGTGTTAAAAGAATGTACCATAATCTTTTTGACTAGCTTTGCGGCACATTACAAACATTTTCATTGCCTTTAAGTGCAGATGTCTGTGCTATTTTGCTTTTGCCTTCTAAGCAGTAACGAATTTTAATGGAAATGAAACAGCAAGAAAGTTACATGATTTCGATGACCCATTCAGATTTTGTGTGGTCATTTTAACTATGAATCATTTCTTTTTTGAAAACAGCTCTAGTCACAGAGGCAACAAGGGACAAAAAATAGTCTAGACTTTTGGTTTTCTTTAAAGATTCTGGACAAAGTAAGGCAATATGCAAATATGCAGAACCACATTAATGAACTGCAGTGGATATAAAATGTATGATACTTCTGTCTTAAAAAATACTTAGGAAAAAATAGGCACTTTAAACAAATTATGCTAGCAGAGACTACAGAATATTAGTTTATAGCACATAATTCTTTAATAGCATACAGAAGAACACTGAAATGCACTTTTATTGTATATTTTTTTATTTCACAGGAAACAAAAATATACTTTATATTGCTATCCCTTGCATAACAAGTAAATATGCACATACAAACCCATTTCAAACATGATAGAGTGCATTTATTGAACTGTTTAAAAACCCTGCTTCTTTTCATGTTTGCGTATGTCTGATTATAAGCATCTTCAGAATGTTTGATCCCTCTGAAAAACAGATCTTTCCAGACCTCTGAGGAAAGGCTTTGGAACGAGTACAGGGTGGTAAGGAAAAAATATGTCATTTATTTAGAGACACTCTTACATGCTGTCTCTGGTCAGAGCATTTTTAGAATTTCCTGATTATTATTATTTTTTATTTGAAGTTTTGCTGGTTAACACTGGTACCATCAGTGGTAGTGTTTAAAATCCCTTGCAAAAGGATGTCACAAAACGTCCTAGCGCTGAAATTCCCATCACTGCTGGACATATCCGCTGATGGAAGTTGGGGTTAGATGTTGTCCACCTGCGAAAAACGATGAAAGGTAGAAGCATCTGGTAAGTAGCTACGATTTGGGCAGGATAGCTGTTGATGACCCCATACACCTGAAGCAAATCAGTGGATTCATGTATTTCTTCAGAGTGGAGAATAATACTTTTTCTTTTCTTTTTTTTCAGGGGGGAATCTCCCAAGTATATTTCAAGTCTTTTATTTGCATCACTGGTCTATGATGGTAATAAAGATTTGAGTGATTGATACTTTCATTTGCAAAAGTGCTGTAAATGTTTTAATGAATAATATTCAATAGCTTACCAGTTGAGGAAAATATTAAACATTTGCAGGGCTTTTTTTTTAAACAGCACATAATTATCTACTTACCTGACGTTCCTTTCTAGCAGATTTCCATCTTACCAGTTTCCAGTGATATGCATGTTCAGATGTCAGCTATAACTTAGTCAATGATTTTAGTCTTTGTATAGCCACACTGGTCCGTGCAGAAATCCAAGAAGCTTCAAAATATGTAGTGCTGGTATAGGGACCCAAGACTTCTGCAGGTCTTGCATTTGAAAAAGATAGTGGTCTGGTTTACCTCTAAATTAAAAATACAAATAGTATATTCTACCATTTTAATTAGGTTTAAAAGTGCATATGGCTGTGCATAGGTATTTATGAGAAAGTCTTTATCAGTGATCTCTAGGGAAAACTGATCTGCAGATATTTTGTATCCCTATAACATCATTTCAGAGTTTTGCAGCTTCCAAAGATTACTTGGACCAGTCTGGTCATACAAAGACCAAAATTACTGACTAGGTTACATTGGACTCCACTGAGTAGACAGTGCAAGTCTGAGGTACCAGTTCTTGTGTTGATTATCTGTACAACTTCCAAATAGGGTCATTACATGAAATAACTTCATTAATAAATCCTTAGGAAATGTAGAAATTTAAAGATTTGGGTTCAACATCAATAAAATTCCAGCAAAAGTTCAACAAATGCTAATATTTTTAATATTCTGATACCATTTTTTTTTGTTTTATTCAAATGAGTTTAGATTTTGGCATTAAGGTGGCAGTGCTGCCTAAGGGACACTTCCACTTAGAATTTCCCTGATGCCTTTTGCAGTACTATTGATTGAGAACTGCTACCTGTAACACAAAGACTGAAAGTAGGATAAGAGCTCTGGTGGCGCAGTGGTTAGAATGCAGTATTGCAGACAAACTCTGCCCACAGCCTGGAGTTTTATCCTGACAGGCCTGAAGGTGGACTCAGCCTTGCATACTGTTGGGGGCAATATGCGAAACAATGTAAACCAGCAGAGTGTGCTATAAAGCATTATGGGATGGTATACTGTATAAGCCTAAATGCTATTGCTAGGACAAAAAATAATAATCATGAAATTAGATACAGATCTAATTTAAAGCTGAATGGGGTGCAATTGACAAAAACTAGTGAAAAATCAGTAAATTTATTTAAAGTCCACTACTTCAATGATAAAAGCCATATTTGCATGAGACATCAAAGCACTCAGCTTGGATAGAACTGTCAGTATGTTTATGTTTTTGTAATAGGAACCAAAATGCTGTGCTGTTTTTGATTAACCCAATTATAGTATCGGACAGGAAGCACATAGCCTTGTTCTATTCTGTTACAGTCCGAGTTTTTCGACAAAAGAATGAAACATTTTTAAAAATGTGTATCCAGGTTTTCCAACTGTGTAATGGAGAATCTCAGCAAATTCCCTGCTGGAAGCTCTTTCAATCCCAAAAGTATTTTGTTTCACAATTATATTTTGCCTTTGTTTCTAATATATATATATATATGGTTTCTATTCCAAAGAAAGAAGCCTGTTTTTATGACAACCCCCAGCCGTATTTTGGAAAATGTTTTTATAATCTTCCTACAACAATCACTTTGAGTAATTTGTATTGTTGGATATCCACACTGCTTCGTCCCCATCTCAAATAACCCAATCTTTGATCTATATAATTGCCAGTGCTTGCTCGCAATGGGTAAATACAGAATACAATTTGTCAGATTACTGTGGTCTACTAACCGATAACCAGTTCATTTTTCCCGTTTTGCTAGGTGGTAAGAATGCAGGTTTAACAGGAAAATACCAGTAGCTAGTTGATGCCAATTATATCAAGGAAGCAAGTGACATAATCATTGGTAGTCCTGTCCCATTCTAGCAATTTACTCATGAACAATTTGGGCATGTTCTGTCTTACTGCGCTTATGAATTTTGTATTTTAAAATACTGAAGCCCGTGAAATGAAAATGGTTCATTAGCTTAAGAACTGAAATAACTCAGAAGCAGGGATGGATGGGCAGAATGAAATAACTGAATCAGATATGCTAACCGGAAAACAAGGCAGAGTGCAACAATTATAAGTTTCAGCAAGAAATGGCCATGTAGCAATGAAGTAGGAAACAGTACTGAACAGATGAGGGCTTTTTGAAAAATAGGTAAACTTAATTTTGGAGGAAATTAAAAGACTGTTGGCAGATAGTTTGCTTTTAAGTCTTGCCAGTACTTTTGTAGAATAGAAGCATGGACAATGACCAAGTTATGATCAAGAGAACAGAAGTCATTATAATAAAGGGTCGAACATATATGCAAGACAGAATGCATAGAGAGATGGACATTGTATTTAGGGCAAATAATTTAAGATCAAAAAATGTCAATAATAAGGAATATTGCAGATCATGCACACTCAGGCTTAAAAAAAACTATGTAGTTGAAAAAAAAATATCCTTGTTCTGTATAGGTAGTTCTCAACTTATGACCACAATTGAGCCCATTTCTGTTGCCAAGTGAGACAATTGTTACATGAATTTTGCTCCATTATATGATCTTTCTTGCCACAGTTGTTAAGTGAATCACTGCAGTTGTTAAGGTAGTAACACGGTTGCTAAATGAATCTGGCTTCCCCTTTGACTTTGCTTGTCAAAAGGCTGCAAAAGGATCATGTGACCTCACGACACTGTAGCCATCATATATACGAGTCAGTTGCCAAGTATGAATTCTGATCATGTAACCATGGGGATACTGCAGTAGTCGTAAGTTGAAAAATTGTCTTAACTCATTTTCTCAGTGCTGTCATAACTTCAGACAACTGCTGAAAGAACTGTTGTAAGTTAAGGACTACCTGTACAGTAATATCAAAAGAATAAATAGCATTAATGATCACCAACCTTGGCTGGAGATTGTACTAAAAGAAGGAAAATGGAGCAGGTAGGACACCACTGAGAATAGTGAGTTGTCTGAAATCAGAAACTCTGTATTTTTTTATATATAATAAGATATAAAGGGATGAAAGAATATATTCCAACCTGGATTTTTGCCACCAACAAAAGGAAGTCATTTTGCATGAAAAATAGAATCACAATACTTTAAACATTTGGATTAGGATGCTAATGAGGTACATTTATTCACATTAAACTCATTTGGTAATGTTTTGGTTTCCTGGTGATAATATGGAAGTGGTTGATCACTGCCTTGTTCAGCCTTTTTAAAATTCCTGGTACAACCTATAACCCTGGGATTTCTTGGTGAACTTACCTGCAGGTATTAAGCATGCCTAATATTCTTGTTGATTCTGATCAGTTGAAATCCATTAGGCATGATGAACTAATTGGTGTAGTAGACACCTGTTAAAAGTTATCCTAACACTTTTATTGCTTTCATTTAGCAAGACATGGGGCTCTTTCAGCCTGCTTGCCTGGCTGTTAATGAGGAGCTTAGAGGGAGACTTGTCTATCTCTGCAAGAGCCATAATTATAGGCAATTAATACTGAAAGCTGGCAGAAAAAAAATAGTGCCCTTTAATTAAACATCTTCAAGCAGGAATTAATATTCTTAAGATTGAATAATAGATTCTACCATTCAGAACTAAATTTAACTTTTAAAAGTACACAGGGAAGCTGTATCTATTACAGATAGCTTTATTGTTAAATTTCCATCACACCGTTGATATCACTTCATGAAGCAAAATAAAATGCTACTGTTTATTAAAATACTTTTTAACAATATCATCTGTCTCTTGGGAAAATACAGAAGTTATATCAAATGTACTATTTTCTACATAAAACTGATTTTCTTTATTAGTCTTTTGTTTTAACTTTTCTAAGAATTTTACTTTCTGCTTGTTGAGCTCCTCTGACAAAATCTTCATCTCACTTGGAGTAAGGCTTTTGGCTGGAAAACAAAACAAACGATGAAATGCTGTTGTTTAAACTTTGTGTTATTTTAACGTTTGAGAAGGAAAAGCTATTATCTAAAAAGAAACATGGCTATAGCTATAAAATAGATCCATAAACATGTCTAGGCCATAATGTGGTGTGTTTCCTTTGGCTTAGCAGGTTCTACAATCAGCCTCTGTAGTATAAGAAACATGTTTCATGTGTTGTATAAACCCAGCCAGTTGTGATTTAGTCTATAAATCAGCTTATCAACTCCATAGAGTACACCATCAATATATATTAAACTTTTGAGACTTAATTTTATACCTATAATACCCAACCTCCCAATAAAAGGCAACCAACCTTTCAACGGTAAGATTACTATACTTCTCAGATATATTACAGCCAGCCCAGCTCTCTGATGTCCTGGCTAGAAAAGTCTTAGTGTAATATATAAACCAGCTCTGCCATTGCAGAACAATGATCTGCCAAGAACCTTTCAATTGCCAATAATATATATGGTTTCTTCTGTGTATGAAAACAGTCTCAGCAATAAAATATTCCATAGGCATCATTTGTTAGCACTGTCTTCAGAGCAATAGTTAAATTCCTTCTAATGAAGGAAGCTCGGTCCAGTGGCTAAAGTATCAGGCTAGAAACCAGAAGTCTGTAAATTCTTATTCCTTCTTAGGCATGAAAGCTGGCTGGTTGACTTTGGGGCAGTCACTCTCCCTCAGTCCATGACATTCGGCTCGGGATACAAGCCAGTCAATTCCTATTGCAACCTATCGAAAAAAAGCAGACCCTCCCCCTTCCTTGCAGTAAAATTCTCGGAAGAAAAAAAGTTACATTTCCCACTAGTAAAGTCATCCCTAAGTCTTGCTCAACATACCTTTAGCCTTCTGCATTATTTCAGAGATTGTTCGCCTGAGAACTTGATCAGCTTGATGTAGAACATTGCTTGCACATATAGCCCGATCCATCTCCTAGTCAAGATCAACCAAAATTGTTTTAATACTGTTGTTACTGATCCTTAGTACACAAGAATTTTTTTTTTTAATTTGATTTATATGCCGCCTTTCTCCGGAGACTCAGGACGGCTTACAATGCGTTAAGCAATAGCCTTCATTCTTTTGTATATTTTATACAAAGTCAGCTTATTGCCCCCACAAACTGGGTCCTCATTTCACCTACCTTAGAAAGGATGGAAGGCTGAGTCAACCTTGAGCCTTGGAGAGATTCGAACCAGCAGTAATTGCAGGCAGCTGTGTTAATAACAGGGTGCACTAAACCACTGTACTATCAAGGCTCTTCTGGATAGTAACATGGATGGTGTCATAAATTTGATACATAAATGAGCAAGAATTAACAATTCAGATTACTTTGTATTGGAACAATTCTAGGTTGCTTTCTGAAAGTTATTCGCCTTCCCTGCCAAGTTTTGGCATAGCCCCGAAGTGCATGCTTCCAATTCTGTAGCAAATCCCCTCCACAATCTAATTTTATATACAAGGATTGAATGAACAGTATTGCCTCCACCTCGGTAACTTTAACTTAAATGGCGATATTTTAATGCAAATGGGAAATAATTCTTGAAATGAACTATTTTGTTACCTGTATTCATTCTCCACATAATCACTACATATTTTTGCCAATGATGAACAAGCTTCTTAAAACCTTAAAGATTCTATAAATCCTTTTCACCTCATTTGATGTCCAAAAATGTGTTTATTCAATTTTAGAGAAAAGTAGAAGTTTCCTGGCTATAGAGGAAAAGGGGGGGAAATACCTAAGATCCAACTTTGGGCCGGAACTAGGGAGAGGCACTGCTGAGCCACTTACACCAACCCTCCTCCTTCAGATTAAAATTCTGTTTATCAGATCATTGTGTAGATTGTGGCTCTTCCTTTTGTTTCCCAAGGTTATTCCCACATACAATTACATAATGCAACCTTTTCTCACAGCAACTTTCCATCAATTGAATTGAAAGAACAAGATGCTAAAGAACACATCTGAACTTCTAGTGCATCATTACTGCCGTCTGTTTGCAGCTTATAAAATTGGAGGCATTATTTTTCATTTAACCCTCACACCAACATTAATAATACTAAGTAGGATTTGCTTTTATATTTTCAGGATACAGTGTCTTTAAGCCAAAGATCAACATTTAAGATTGTGAAACTGGTGATGCATTTTATAAAAAGGCCAGGAGGCAATTTGGAAAAATTTACATTTTGTCTTAGGAACTTTACAAATAGAAAACAATCTTAAGAAATAAGATGAGGTGTATTAAAAGCCTTCTGATTTGTAATCATTTTTTTTTATTCTATTCAGCTTTTGGGAAGCAGAAATTGAACAGTAAATTAGATTTATATTTTTATATAATGTTTGGCTTCCATAGAATGTGCAGTCCATTGCCTCCAAAGTGAGTGGCCTCAAAAGCCTCTCCATTAGTTGAACAAACCATGTGACACATACACACACACACTGATTAGATACAATATAATTAAAATGAATCTGGGTTCTGCATCTATCCCATTTCACCTGCTTCTGAAGTGTCAAAGACCAATTGTGTGTTGGTCCCTTTTATACAGTCTTTTGATCATTTTAATATGTTAATTTTAATGCTGAATGCTTTTAATGTTTTTAATGTTCTCATTATTTTATATTGTCCTTTTATGATGTTGCCCAGGGTAACTTGATAGTGGGATGGGTAGCATATAAATTTAAAAAATAAATAAAAATTGCAATCTTCCATTTTAGAAAAAAAAACTGGACATTCCTGGTATAAAACAGTGGATAGCTTTCCAGCTCTCTTTTTTATTTTTATCCACAATGGCAAGGGCTAAATATTTTATCCCCATCAAAGGCTTCCTATATATAGCAAATCTCCTGAACTTATTAACCCACATAATTCAAGGTACCTTTTCTTCTGTATTCTCTTCCATGGGTTTTACTGGATTTTCCAAAGCAGAAGATAACAAATTAAACACCTGAAGACTGAAAAAAATATAAAATTAAATTGCAAATGCAAACATACGAACGTCTAGCAGCTTGCTCAAAGATAATGTCTGAGATCAATGGGATCAATAACATCCATCTAAAAAGCTAAACCCTGAAGAAATTCAATGTACAAACTGCAATTCAGTACAAATGAATATGAATTTCTCTATAAGTAGAAACCTTCTCCCTCCCCCATATCTTCCAAAATCAAGTTTTACTAGACTATGTAAGAAGTTTTCCCTCACAAGTTCCTTTCCTCTGAGGCAAGAATCCTACAAAGTGCCCAGAGATCATTATAAAAAGAATATAAATAATTGTTTCAATGAGATCACTTACTTATCTTCTAATGAAAATTCAGCACTTTTCACAATAAGGCTATTTTGCTCCCACATGTATTTTTTTGAATTTGGACATTCTAGCTTTTCTGCCATTGCAAATATGGTTTCCTCAGGTAATGGCTGCTTTCTCTGAGAATTTCTCTCTAAACAAACTTCAACCTGGCAGTCTAGGAACAATTGACAGAAGCCCAACGAATCTAGAAAATAAAATATATGTTTATCAAAACCGGCCATTTAAAACTCATTATACACAGACTGTGTAAGATGCACTGTGTAAAATTAAAAATTAAACAATGGATTAAGAGGCAATTCAATATTTATTAAATGTAATCACACACAAATCTGCGTAGCTATTTAAACAAGTTTTTCAGGTTAAATCTTGTCAATATGCAAGCAAGAGAATTCTAAAATGCATAGATGCATTACATAAAATGCATTGCATGAAAAATAGTTTTGGAAAACGTAAAATATCAAACAGGAATATGGGGTGATCAGTTTTCCCCTTCTGACCTTATTAAGTCAGTGGATTACATTCTCCTTCAAGTGAGAAAAGCTTCCCCCTTTGGTGTTGGCCTCTAAGGCGAAATTTGTTTCAATATAAGACGAAAACCATGCTAGTTGTTGGCCAGGAAATTTGGTCAGCAGCTTATAAAACCATCCAAACTCTCGGTCATATTCCAAAGCAGCACTTTATCTACAGCAATACCCAGAGCTGGCATATATATATATATATATATATATATATATATATATATATATATATAGGTAGGTAGGTAGGTAGGTAGGTAGGTAGGTAGGTAGGTAGGTAGGTAGGTAGGTAGATGCCATATATATATATATATATATATATATATCCAGGATATATATACACACACACACACACACACACACACACTTTCCACTAGCTTCAATGAGAGGGGGAGGGGAAGAGGAACGGAGGGAGGGATAGAGAGATTTATGAAAGCTATAATTCTCCCACTTTTATGCTGTCAGAAAGAACCCAGCAGGATACAGAATATCTTGGAAGTCTACCCCCACCCTAAATAATGAGTAGCAATTGCCTAAATTCAGTACCAAGAGGAAACAGAATGGTCAGATCATTAGCTTTAACTAATAGAACAGTTTTCACAATGTCCTTCCAGGGACAGCTGAACCAACGAACACCACAGACTGACAACCTCAGATTCAAGAACAGCGTCAATTTGTCTGGAACAGCTGGAGCAGCCCCTCCTTACAGAAAGGAACTCCTAACCAATGGCCTCTTTGTTGCATACTGATCCACCAATGAGTGGATGCCAATTCACCAGGATCACCGTCCAACTGGAAAGAAAGGCAAGAAAAGAAATACTCCTATTGGTGGCTGAAGTAATTTGACTCTCCATCTCTCAGAGATGTATGGTCCTCTTCCAGCCAAGGTCATCCATCAGGATGCGAAAAGCCATTTCTATACTCATGCCCCAAGATTTCTAAGAATATCAAAAACAACAGTTCACAAAAAAATATGTAAAAAATAGATAGTGACATCCTGTACCATGGATGGCTGCCCACTAAAGATGTTTTGGTAGAGATGTTCTATGCAGCACTTTATTGATTTGTAGGACAGCACAAAAGATGTAATTGAGAAGTTCAACCCTGCTCACCAAGAAAAACCCCTTTTAACTACAACAGCTCAACATATGGTTTGCACTGCTGAATCGTGAGGTTGAATCGCTGGTGTAAAATATAAAATCCAACTTACACTGGCGAGCTAACTGGTACACTTCATATCTCATGCTCCGATAATAAAAGTTGTCATCTAAAATAAAATATATTGGCCTGAGTGGAATGAAATCTATTAAATATTGACAAGATGCAGAGTCTTCTGTTTCTGCAGATATTAATCCTTGTTCCATCAAACAGGAGACAAAACTTTTCCACATTGTTTCAGTTCTGTTTGAAGGAGGAAAGTAATGGCATCCTTTAATAAGAGCCTGAAGGAAGTGTTCAAGGTACAATAATAATTCATGCCGGTATGATCTCCAATGAGAAATCTATAACGTAAGAAGACAATTATTCATGTTAGATTACAGATTGGCTGCAATCTGGAGCAGCTATCAACGGCAACAAATGCACTGTTATTTACCTCAGTGTAAAATGGAGATTTGATCTCCATAGATTTTGATTTGTTGGTCATTGAATTTTGGGTCACAGGCAATTTTTTCTGTCTAGCCATCTCATTCTATTTAATTTAAATCCTTCCCCCACATACATATTTTGATAGAAAGCTCAATTTCACCATAATGGTGCTGCTAGAGTCTTTCCAGAAAAACTACCCAACTCCAGTTCCTGTTGGAACAGATTAGCACCTGACCCTCTCAAAATTAGACAAAGGATTCAGTGCAAAGCATTTGAAGGGGCATTTTGTAAAATGCATGCCCGTGAAGAAAGTGCCCTTCCTCATTAAATTTTCATTAAATTTTCATTCAGCACAGCAGCTGCATCCTCCTGAAGACCCAGCTCAATTGCTTTGAAGGCCTTTTCAGATTATCTCCATGTGCAGGTGTGTTCAGAGAAAACTTTCTGCTGGAACAGACTGCAAAGCAAGCTGTGTACGCGTAGAATTGTAAAAAAGCAGCGCAGGTGAACTTTCTGGAATATGTAGTTGCTTTGATTTTTTGAGGAAGGATGATTTTGCTTATGTCCACAGGCTTCGAGAAACACTCCTTCAAATATTTTATACAACTCTTGTAGCAATGCTAACTTCTACAGGAGGACAACCATCACTGCAGCCCTCCGCCAATCTTGGCTTTATGGCAGAGTGGCTAGACGGAAGCTTCTCTTCAATTCAAAACACATGAAAGCTTGCTTAGAGTTTGCAAAAAAGCACTTGAAGGACTCTCAGACTGCGGGGAACAAGATTCTTTGATCTTATGGAACCAATATTGATCTATTTGGCCTCAATTCTAAACATTATGTCTGGAGGAAACCAGGCACCGCTCATCATCTGCCCAATATCATCCAACAGTGAAGCATGGTGGTGGCAGCACCATACTTTGGGGGTGTTTTTCAGCAGCAGGGACTGGGAGACTGGTCAGGGTTGAGGGAAAGCTGAATGGAACAAAGTACAGGTATATCTTAATGAAAACCTGTTCCATAGCACTCAGGACCTCAGACTGAGCCGAAGGTTCACTTTCCAATATGATAACGAACCTAAGCACAGAGCCAAGACAACGCAAGAGTGGCTTAGGGACAACTCTGTGAAAATCCTAGAGTGGCCCAGCCAGAGCCCTGACTTGTATCCGATTGAACATCTCTGAAGGAACCTGAAAATGGCTGTCCAACGACGGTCACCATCTTATCTGACTGAGCTTGAGAGGATTTGCAAGGAAGAATGACAGAAAATCCCCAAACCAAGTTTGCAAAACTTGTCACGTCATACCCAAAAAAACTCAAGGCTGTAATTGTTGTCAAAGGTGCTTCAACGAAGTACTGAGTGAAGAATCTGAATACTTATGCCAATGTGATATTTCATTTTTTAAAAAATAAATCTACAGACATTTCTAAAATTCTGTTTTCACTTTGTCATTATGGGGTACCGAGTGTAGATTAATGAGAAAAAATGAATTTCAACAACTGTAGAATCAGGCTGCAGCATAATAAAAATGTGAAGGGGGTCTGAATACTTTCTGAATGCACTGTATACACATTGTACAGTGCATACCATACTTATGTATGTATGTATTTGGTTCTTGGCTTATGACAAGTCACTTAAGGACTGTTCGAAGTTACAACAGACCTTCCAGAGCTACTTTGTACTTGTTTTTGGAATATAGATTATATATATAATCTATTATTAGATTATATATTATACTTTATTAGCAAATTTAGGACTACATATTCACAAGATAAGCTTCATTGTAATTTAAAAAATAAAATACTGAACTAATTAAACTATAAAGTTAGTATGAAATCTGAAAATTCCACAGTGCAATGATTAACACCAAAATACCACAGTGCAATGACAACAACCAATGTGTGTGTGCCTGTGTACACGCACATGTACACACACCCTTAATGCCTTCATTACACCAAACTGGTTCTAAACATCAAGCTGGGATTTAACTCTGATTTATTCTCATAATTTGCTATTTGCTGTTGATTAATTTACTGAATTTGCATTTAAAATACTTTAGTGAGAAAATCTTCTAACTGCCCAGAGTCTTCTGAAGTAAGTGATAATAAGGTAATGTCTAACCCTAATCTTACCTCTGTTTCACTGAATGCTTCCAAAGGAATGAGATCGTCATAACTGAGAAGAATGCAGGACCATCCTTTGTGCTTCCTCAAGGAGGAACTCAGCGCTTGTGCTGTCCTAGTTTTACCTGCTGCTGGTAAACCACAAAGCACACATAGTCCCAGCTGATGGCCTCCAACTCTCTCTTGCTCCATGCTTTCCCCTTGATGAAACTTCTGTGAGACCAAGGAACTAACGGTTTAATGCATTAACTTAACGTTGCAACGTATTTGCTGTTGCACACAAAGAATGATCAGAAGTGCCAGTACTGAAGAGACAATGGCTTTGTCTGAATACTTTGTTTTCTGATAGCTTTTGATGCCACACTTTTCCTAGTTAGAAGAACAAGGACGCTTAAATAAATAACAAAGAAACTTGAGTTGTTACTGTTGCAGATAATCGACAGTACATAAAAAACACATGCATACACCAGAATAGAGGGCAACTGTTATATTGAAAATGGACACATTGAGATCTATTTTTAAAAAATAACATTTTTCAGTTTATTATTTATTAGAGTTTTATTCTGCCTTTATTACTTTATAAGTAACAAGGCGGTGAACAAGGTAGACACCTTCCTCCTCCTATTTTCTCACATTTATCACTTTTCATAAGTTCTAAAAAATCAATATCAAAGTGTAATTTACGTTTATCATGCTGTTTGTTCGATAACCCAGAGTAATTTTTAAAATTAATTTAAAGAAGTTAAAAGAAGTTAAAATAAGATAGGCATTACTGCCACCTACTGATGTTATCTATAAATTTTTAAAAAACCATATTCTCAATAATACCAATTATTGTGATTTAAAAACAGCACTCTATGACAAACAGAAATTTGAAAAAAAACTATTTCACAACCTTATAACCCTCAGTCCTGAGCGTTTCATTTTGTTTTAAGTTGGTACTAAAGATAAATCTTGATAGATTTATGAATTGATGGCATGGATATTTACCCTTGCTTTATGTTCCTATTGAGGAATTTAGATGTAACAATTTCATAACTTCAGTAAAATAGTGAATGTAGACCAGGAACATCCACCATCGTAATCTATCTTGTTTGCAGGCATAACAGAATAGCCACTATTTTTAAAAAAAAAATATTCTAAGATGTTTGAATTTATGGGGTAGGAGTAAATGCCTTGGATTATTTTGCAGGGGCTTGCATCTCTCCAACCTTTGATTTTAGCATCTTCTTCATTCCTGCTCCAGATTGCCAAAGTCCCCAGTTCATACCACTTGCTGAACTAAGCCAGTGAAAAATAAGGCAGTGGCTGTCACAACCAGGCCATGTTTGTTAAATGTTAAACCTGGTTCCAGGGACATATGTGCATGATTTAGCCCATTTGGTTATTTTAAGTAATGCACTGGGCAAATTCAGTACCCAGAGATTAAGTGGCTGGTCTGAACCCAGCCAGTGTTTAAAACGTCTTCCCTTTGCCACTTACCTTCTCTCCCAGACTTGTTTATCGAGTCGCTTCTTTCTATCCACTCGCTTCTTTCTATCCTACTCTTTTTTTATCCATTCACCTGCCCTCGACAGCAGTCACCCCTTTTCCCAGCCAAGAAGAAGAAGAAAAAAAAAAAAGCTATTCCTACCTCTGCCAGCGACACTCTATCTTCGTAAAGGGGAGGACTCTATCATTCGCTTACTAAAGTCCGCAGGCGAGTGTACGCGTTGAATTCTGGGAGTTGAAGTCCACGCATATCAAAGTTGCCAAGATTTGAGACACACTGCCCTAGGGTTGGAAATCACAGTCACAAGTAGCTTCCTCCTCCTCCTCCTCAACAAGTCACGCCGGCCGAATTCATCCAGCACGCTAAGCCACAAACGAGGAAATCACTGTTTGGCTTTAATGTGTGAACCTATATTCAACATAATTGGACCTAATTGGATATAAAAGGGGAACAAGCTGATACATGTGATGTTAACTCGGACCAGATTTTTTTAAAAAATTAAGGGAAACAGTTGCAGTGGGAAGAAGAAGAAGAAGAATATAAAACTTCCAGCTCCATATAGTCCATAGGACCCAGTCAATGGTCTTCCACTTCGAGTTTTATCGCCTGCTTTGGCTTCTCCCTGGCAAACACAGCCAAGGCTTGGAAATGGCAATTAACTCAAAGGTTGCCTGCCGTGTCCACGTTCACACAACCGGATCTGCGATCGGCTGAGGACGCGGCTGGAACTGCATTAAGATGAGAAAGCATTTTATTTCCGAAAGCCGCGTTTTTCTCATTTTCCAGAAATTGCACTGCTACCGAAAGTACAGGCATTAGGAAAAAAGAATCGACGAATAGCCAATAGGAAGAGGAGACGTTTGTTGGCCAACGGCTATTGGATCCGCGGCGCCCAGCTTGCTTCTGATTGGGTGAAAGCAATAGAAGATCTGGTCTGTCCTGAGAGGGAATATTCCTTAGTCCCCCCACCCTCCTCCTTCTAAGGACGATTTTACGGTTTGCGAAATTGTCACTTCTGCCGACTGGATATACACTAAAGCAAAAAGTCTACTCTATGGAGATTCTCAGTCATCCAGGTGATAGTTGTCCCAAAGGTGCTTTTTCAGGAGGCAACTGGACTTTCTGGTTTTTTTTTTTCTTTGAAGACGTTTCGCTTTCCATCCAAGAAGCTCCAAAGAAAAAAAACAAAGTCCTGTTGCCTCCTGAAAAAGCACCTTTGGTACACTGAAGCAACTTTTTTTCAAACTTGGCAATTTGAAGATATGTGGACTTCAACTCCCAGGATTCCCAGCCAGACAGCTGACTGAAGAATCCTGGGAATTGAAGTACACACATTTTACAAATTGCCAAGTTTGGAAAACGCTGCATAATGGGAAACTCCACTGCTTTGGAATGATTTTCGGAAACAAAATGCAGGAACAAAATGGGCTGGGTATTTAGAAATTGTAAAGGAGATTCCAGCACCTTTCTACTTGTAATCAGCACTCAGGTCAGCATAGATTAACTCCAAGGTCAACTTCAGACCAACAATTCAAGTAAGCAATATCCCAATCAAGAAACTGTCAAAGAGCCATCAGTAAACATACCAATCAAAGAATCCCTAAGACTGCCCCCACCCAAACTCGCAAGATACCGGAATATAAACTGACAGCAAACAGCACTTCTTACTAGCACTGGTGATGCTACCTAATTAGGGTAATGAAGTGTCTGCAAGAAAACAAGCAAGCTCAAAGAGCACCAAGGACCCCTCATTTCAATCCTGAGCTACAAATATTCTCCTTTATTGGAACAATCAGCCTGGCAGGTAATAAAAGAAACTGTCAATATAACTTGTTAAATCAGTGTACATGCCAATATAAATTTGGATAATAAATGGTAAGAATTCCTTTTAAAAAGATTATCCTTTAATTTACAGTAGTTTAGCTCAACTTGCAGGAGACTTTTCGTAATGTTATGTATGGATTACATTTGCAGTCAATTTGTGACGACTTGATGAAATACAGAAGTAGTCCTTTTCTATAATTGGAAATAATTCTAATAACGAATTTTGTAATTGTGTGCACAGAGGTCCAGGGAAGTTTTTAAAAAATGAGGTTTAGGCTTCAAATATTTGCAGATCTTAATTGATGAAGGCTATTTTATAATTCAATGAAGGAACTTGAATAGTTTGAAACCAAACTGGAATTTGTGATAAATCCATCTGTAAACTATATTCAGTAGGAGTTACAAGGCTTTAACAAATATGCCTTTAATTTCTTAAACTATCTTTGCATTCTTTGCATTAAGTGATGTGGTCACAAAGACATCATGTTTTGTGACCACATCACTTAATGACACAAATTCCAGCCACAATTACTATAGTTAAGTGAAGATTACCTGTACAGGTAGTCCTTAACTTAAGACAGTTCATTTAGTGACTGTTGAAAATTACAACGGCACTGAAAAAATTGACTTATGACTATTTTTCATACTTAGGACCACTGCAGCATCCCTACGGTCACATGATCAAAATTCAGATGCTTGGTAACTGGTTCATATTTATGACCGTTGCTGTGTCCCAAGGTCATATGATCACTTTTTGTAATCTTCTGATATACAGTCAATGGGGAATCCAGATTCACTCAACAACTGTGTTGCTAACTTAACAAATGCAACAATTTACTTAACAACTGTAGCAAGAAAGGTCGTAAAATGGTGCAAACTCACTTTAATGTTTACCTAGCAACATAAATGTTGGGTTCAATTGTGATCGTATCTCAAGGACTACCCATAGTTCATTTACAGATAGCCAGTAGATGGCACTAAATATTGCATACTTTTCTCTTAAAATATTTTAATAAGATTTATACTATAATATGTATTATTAGAAGTATTGTTCCTTTTTCATTGTCAAAAAAAGTAAAGTGATTTATAGATGCAATAATAATCAGAATCAAAATATTTAGTTGGTAAAAAGAAGTTAATAGCTGTAGGCCAAATAAAAAAAAAGGAAATTCTTTAAAATTCTTCAACTATAGGTAGCTCTTGGTTAATGGGGCTGGAATTACTGTCATTAAACAACACAGTTGGAAAGCATGACATCATGTGATATGCTACCTACCAATGAAAATTCCGACACTTCTAGTTGCTGTCTTTTAGTGAATCACCCTGGGTCATCATTTGTAACGCCCTGCCAACTTCTCTACTGACTTCATTTGTAGGTAACCAGCAAAAAGGTTGCAAATGATATCATGTGACTTTGAGGACCTTGCAAAAACAGCTGCAAATTCAATGCACAGTGATGAGTACCACTTGGTCAGAAAGTTTGAAAGGTTGCTGAATGAGTGTTCACTAAGTGAGAATCACCTATATTATTTATCTGCAATCATGTTGAAAGTGATATTGTAAAAGCATTAAACTTGTAACTGATTTTTCATGTCAATGAAATTATTTTTTAAAAAGATGCCATTTGTATGTCAAGTTATTTTATTTTTTTTACAAAATGGTTCACAACATTTGCCATTTTAATAGAAATTGTGCAACTGATTTTTCTACCTCTAAATTACAAAAGTGATTTGTGCAAAACTGCAAATAACTTTATACAGGTACAAAGCTTAGAGGTGGAAGCACCATTAACTAATTTGATTCATTATAGGAAATTTCAATTTTGAAATATTCTATAGTCTTTAAAATACATATTAATATAAGTTTTCAGATAATGTAAACATTAAAAATTATGTTTATATCTAAATTTTGGCATTTGTATCTAGCATAATACCTTTGTTTATCAACACAACTATATTACCAAAAATGAGATATTAAAAACGTTTCAAAAACATTTTGTAAATCAATTCTGAATAGAATTTAATGTATGTCTGATAGTGGAAAGAGGTTATCATATAAAAGCATTCATTAAATTTGGTGGATCATATGTGTTAGTCTTGATTTATAGATCTGAATTGGTTATTCATAATAAGCGCCTCCTAAACCATATATTAGGAAACAATTATTCAACACTGTGCCCAATATTCAAATCCATTATGTTTTTCAAAATATGTATTTATACAAGCTGGGATTATGATGTGACTTTAAACAAAGGCTGTAACATTGTAAGGATGCAAATTGCTCTTTTCCTCACCAGAAAACTATTCTTTAATCAAATCTTTGGTTTAATGAATCCATGCAGAAATGTTTTATTATATTTCCACCAAAATTACCATCAGGGCTGGTATGTCAGAAATGTGGCATCACTGCACTTTAATGAAAAATGGTACAAATTACTATTATGAACCTGAAATGATTTGATATGCTTAATGAGCCCAGTCAATTGTGTTTTTTTCATTAAATCATAGTTAAGAAAACGTGTCTTATTATGTTTCAGCATGTAGTTGACATTTTGTCTCATATTGATATAATATTAACGTGACTATCAAAATGGTCAGATAAAGCTATAAATAAAAATGTATAACTTTCACAGATTTATGATATGAAAACAGAAGTATCATCTATTTCAGTGTTGAAAGTTGAAAGAATCTTGAGAAATATCTTACAATAACATGGTCATTTAAACACTTAAGAATAAGTATTTAAAATCTTCCTGTATTCAGCAGTAAACATGCAGATCAACAATACGGTGCTGTCAAGTCACATTGTTGATTTTAAGGCAATACAAACCTGATCTTTGCTCAAACAGATAATACTACTCTATAGCCCTTCCTTCACTGATTGGTTGATTTTTGGAATCCATCTTGTGCTTCACTCATCTACTTCCTTATATTCCATTCACATTATTTCTTAATGTAATCAACTGACTACAAAGAACCAATTGCACGTTTTTAAAAAAATCAGAGCAACTGTACAATTAGCAAATCTGTCATCGATGTAAGAGCAGCATCTCCCCCAATTTTTACCAGGATCAACAATATGGGAATTTTTATGACAGATTTAACTATTCCTTCCCCAACCATGACCACTAACTTCAATAGGTGTTTTCTTGTAATGTTAATAATATATGTTGGGAGTGAAGAGAGAAAGAAAGGAAGGAATCTCTTGGGCCCACAACTAGAAAAGAAAAGCCTCACCACCTCTTCTTCTCATAAAAATTGCACAAACATCTCTTACATTTTATAAGTCTGACAGGATTTCTGATCACATTTACTACAATATCTAGTTTGGCCCTATGTTAGAGTAAAAGACTTTTACTGGTACGAGTATTACTTGTAAAAGCAATATCCTGTGGTCTAATAATTAAGGCAGCATTTTCTTTCCTAAATAATGATTTGGTAGGACAGCATTAATTAAATTTAATTTAATTTCATCCTGTTTTAAAAATTAAACTGAGGTCTTTGTTTGTATATTTCTAAAAAATAACACTTTTAACTCATTTCACTAATATAATATTTTTCCTAGTGGCATACAGTACGTGTCTTTATAAGTCTTCAAGACGGAGGAGAGAAAACAGGTTTTTGTGGGATTGGTGGTCTTAAAGGTGAGTTTCGTGGAATTGGTGGCCTTAAAGCAGGATTTTGTGGAATTGGTGGTCTTAAAGGAGTATTTTGTGGAATTGGTGGTCGTACAGGAGGTCTTTGTGACATTGGTGGTCGTATGGGAGGTCGTTGTTGAGGTGGAACAAATTGATTTTGTACTGGTGGCCTAAAAAAAAAAAGGAGAGGAAAACAGTCTGTGGAGGATTTCAGGTTTTGGCAGGTACAAACAACCCTGAAAAAGAACTACTTATTTTTATTTTTATTTACTTCTATTTCACATTTCTGAACTGCCATCTCCCTCAAAGAGACTTAGGACTAAAGCACAAAGAAGTTGATCTGAGGTAGCCACATACACATAGCAATGCTGTATCTGAGCTTTCAATAACTACTTTAGTTACTGAAATAAAACCTAACCTAAACCATTGTGCCGGACATGAATACGTTCAGTTGACTAGACCATATGAATGTATGAAATGCATATATGAACTATTATTTATTCACTGAGGTTCTAGTTTCCTTGAGGCATCAAGGCCTTCCGATTCCTACAATACAAACACCGTTGGGTTGAAAGAGAGTAACTGACCCAAAATCACCTAGTAAACTCTGTGGTTGAGAGGAGACATTGGATCAAGGCTTCCCACTCCTTAACCACCACACATCATTATACGGGAAAGTGTGCTTATCACTGGAGACAGTTTGAACTTAATGGTGAACACCAGCTTCCATTTCTAGCCATTACTCTCATGTGGCTGCAATAAATTGCTTTAAAGCATGGAGTCCCGACCCTCCGCTGAAAAAAAAATTCTCCACCTCTAGTTTTTAATATGTTCTCTCTAAACTTACAGCCACATTCTGTATGTGGTTCTGCTAAAAGTTACATCAAAAACTACAAACCTTGGAGTTGGAAAGTGAGATATTGTAAAGATTCCTGAATTTGAAGTAGTAGGCTGAAAAAAATAAATAAATCAATAAATCAATAACAAATCAATCAATCAATCAATCAATCAATCAATATCATGCTTATGTTTTAAAAGATAATGGTAAAGGTTTCCCCTGTCCAGTCATGTCTGTGGCAGTGGTCGTGGTTTGAGTTGTCAAGCCATTTTGGGAGCATCTTCAGGGCTGCCATCTGACTATATGGGGTTGTGCTCATCTGTTTTCTTATCCCAGCAGCCCACAACCTTTGGGGCATCAGGGACCGGTTCCATGGAGAGGTTTTTCCATGGACCAGAGGGAGCGTGATTTCATGTGCTGCCTGCATCCCATGGATGGGGCCTCGGTTGTTTGCGCAGCCCTGTTTCTGGCTTGCCATGGCTACAGTGCCGGTCCACAAACCAGGGGCTGGGGACTGCTGTCTTAGCCAAGGGAACCAGCGTTGTCCGAAGACACTTCAACGGTTATGTGACCAGCATGACTGTATACCAAGGCACACAGAACTCTGTTACCTTCCTACCAAAGTGATACCTATTTGCATGCTTTCAAACTGCTAGTTGGGCAGAAGCTGTGGCAAGGAATGGAAGCTCACCCCATTCATGCTGCTTGGGTCTCGAACCTGGACTGCCAGCTTTCCAGCTGACAAGTTCAGCATCTTTAACTGCTGAGCTGTTGCTCCCCATGCTCATGTTTACAATCAAGCAAAATACTGTTGTTCTAAATTCTGCAAACTAAATTTCTGAATAGATAATTAACTCAAAGAAGAAGAAAAATGCACAGCTGATACTTTGTACTAAAAGACTTTTATTGGTGGAAATTACTTAAAAATAGACATTATAATTGAAAGTACATTCTTACCCGCCTTCTATTTTTTTCCTCTTGTGGATTAGGTTCACTTGGAGTATTACTCTGGTGTGTAGGTAGTGGTCTTCTTTGCTGTGCATTTTCAGTCCTTAAAGAGCAATTCAAACAAACAGTTAAAATTATATAAACATAAATGCCCATCTTGTAATATTTCCCAACTAGTAAATGTGGAAGTAGATAACTAGATAATACACTTTTAGAAAGATTCAGACAAACAGATTAAGTAAAGAACCATGATGATGATCAAGGAACCAGAAAGCTCAAAGGAACTGGAATGTTTAGTTTTCAGAAAAGAAAACTGAAGAAAGCTATGATAACACTCTTCAAATCTTGAAAGCTGTAATGTAGAATAAGGGTCAGACACTTTTTTTCTATTGCCCCAGAGTGAACATCATTGATTACAGTAAAGCTGATTTCAACTGAATGTCAGAAAAAACCACTTGAACAACTTGAATATGGAAAGTACTAAGAGGATTGGTAGGCCCCTCTTCAGTGGCTAGATAGCCATTGAGTTGGAAATTGAAAATGTTTGGACTGAGTTTCCTTCACCGACTAGGCTAGTAGTGGGAGTAGATTTAGTGCCATAAACGACTTCTTCCAAAACTATGATTCTAACTCAGGAGTGCCTTACTTAGTTGTTTTTCATAAATAACTGGTCTGATAAAGTAAGGGGTCTAGTCTAGCTAGTGTAGGATTGAAAAATCAAAATGGATGAGGGAAAAGCAAAGCAAAGAGCTACTTTAGTAGAAAGTGCTACAATATCTAAAACAGTGGGTCTTAACCTTTTCTTCACCACAGACCCCCCCCCTTTAAATAACTTTTGTGGCCATGGATCAATATGGGTTTCAAAATTTTTTACTACTGGTTCTGTGGGTGTGGCTTGGTGGGTGTGGCTTGGTGGGCATGGCAGGGTAGATACTGTAAAATCTCCATTCCCTCTCCAATCCAAGGAAAGGTTACTGCAAAATCCCCATTTCCTCCTGATCATCTGGGACTCGGGAGGCAGAGAATAGATGGGGGTGGGGCAAGTCAGAATTTTTACTACCGGTTCTCCGAACTACTCAAAATTTCCACTACCAGTTCTCTAGAATTGGTCAGAACCTGCAGAAACCCACCTCTGCCATGGATCCCCAAGCATTAACTCAAAATTTAAATCATAACATTTCTTCAAGCTTTTGCAGACCAACTGTGAGAACAACACCCCCTCCCAGGGGTCTGTGGACCACAGATTGAGAACTACTGGCCTAAAATATTATTTAATTTTTAAAAATCAGCAAATATATTTTTCTACTGAAATGATCATAGTTGGTATTAGAGAAATCATAATTTGTAGAATCAGTAACCAAACCAGGATCTGAGAAAGACTAACCATTCTTGGAGAATTACCCAATCTAATCTTTCGTCTATTCATGTTGGCTCTGTGACTAGCACTATGAGAAGTTACTTCCTAATATTTTCTAAGGAATTTTTCTTAAAAAAATGAAAAGCCAAAGTATTACATTGCAGGTAATGAATTGTCTGAATATCATTGTCTGAGTTGGGTTTAGGAAAATAATATCTCTTCCTTGTCTCCTATCTGGACAACGGCTAATTTAAAACCTTAAACAGAAATTGCTTCTTCAGGCTTGCCAATAAAACCTGGATAAAAATCATGGAAAAGATATTATTTTTCTAGATCTCCACCTCTTTTTCAAGCTTCATTCCCAACATTCCTAAAAATCCCTATAAATCTTGCTCCCATTGTCATCTATAGCTAATCATGTAAGGGTATCATTTCAAAAGGCTTCGACCTTTTTATATTTTATTTAATATTTATTTCGTAGGTTCCAGTGAATTCAGTGAAGGTTGTTTCTGAATGACTTGCACCACAACATTTACATTATCTTTTAAGATCACTAGGACTCCAAATCGTGTTTCCATTTTGAATTTTGACTTAACCTTGCATAGATGTGTTCCGTTCTCAATGTTATCAATTGCATGAATTTTGTACCTGTGATGTCTTCTACGTTCTCTGAAGAGACGCCTTTTAATTTCTTTCCTCTTGACAAATGCAATTGCAAGTAGAATTAATATAGGCAACACAAGTAAAAAGAATATCAGAAGACCATCTCGAAGGGATGTATCTAAGAAAGAAAATAAGCATTGTATGCGTATTTAAATGTAGAATTTGGACAGTGGGGCTACAAGAAGGAAGGTTGATTCCCACCAAGATAAAATATGCATTTTTGGATAATTTGTACAATAAATAAATGAACAAGTATAACATTTTGACTCCTTTGTTTAATTGGAATCTCTTTTACTACTTTTAGGGCCTGTGCAAAGGACAGATCATGTTTTATTTTATTTATTTATTTTATTTAACTTATATGCCGCCCTATCTCCAACGGACTCAGGGCGGCTCACAACAATAAAATCCACAATAGGTTTTGGGTCATATTTAAGCAGCAATATCCCAAAGGTGCTTTTTCAAGAGACAACTGAACTTTCTGGTTTTTCTTTGAATTCAAAGAAAAACCAGAAAGTCCAGTTGCCTCTTGAAAAAGCACTTTGGGACAACTATGACCTGGATGACTGAGAATCTCCATAGACATTGAGCAGCAATATTGAAAATTCAGAACGGTTTGCAAACATTTAAGTACCATGTACAGTATATATAAAAAATTTCCAAGAAGGGAGAAGCTCATCTTCCAAAAATGAAAGACCCAAATTTCTAAAATGGCCATATGTTAACTTACAGCTATAGATTCAGATTTTAAAGATAATTAATTTCAATAGAAACAAAATCCACTAAACTAGTGTAGCAAAGGCTATGCTGACTTTTGTTCCTAGTCTTCATTTTTAAACTAGAATTTTTTGGGGGATAGTTATTCAATGAAGTGACAGTTATTCACTTTAAGATGAATGTGACTTTCATCAAATAAGTCATAAAGCTACCTTAAAAGGTGCAAAATTAGAGTTCAAAAGTGAGCAATATCAGATGGAATGTAAGAAAGAGGAATGATTCTTGATACCTATATGTGTTGGGCCACTATCTATGCTACCCCCATAGCCAGACACATCACAAAAAGGAGGTGCCCACCCAGGATCACAGTGGCAATTGCCTTTGTTGTTACACACCTACAGGAACAAAAAAGAAACAAAATAATGAAATTACAACTTTTAAAGAGGTTAAAGAAATTGCAATAATATTAGGCTTAAGATATTATGTTTCTCCCCCAAACAGACATGCAAGAATCTATGCAAATCTCTTAAGGAATTTTATTGTAGAAGAACTCAAATGCCATCATGAAAGAATTCTATTAACAGCTGAATTATCAGAAGTGAGATCTATGTAATAATGAACTCAATGTTCCATAGTTTCTCTCATGTGCTGTGCATTGTATCATATGGACCTCTCTTTTGGATGGGAAGCAGTGGTGTGGAATCAGGGGTGGGTTCTACTTACCTTTACTACTGGTTCGCAAAGGGATCGCGTGCGCCGATCGCTTCTGATGATGTCAGGGTCAGTGGACAGAACCTCCCGCCAGTTTTACTACCTGTTCTATAGAACTGGTCCGAACCAGGGGCAACCCACCACTGTGTGGAATGCAGACCAATATCTAACAACCAGCTCTATTGGCTCCATTACAGTGTTGGCAGCACTACACCAATGGCTTCCAAACAATGATTGGCCTGGCATTGGAGGTCTCCTCTCCTCTCAACTAGCTTGTAAAATTCCAGGAAATGCATATGAATCAGCTCCAGCATAACACTGACGGGACCTCCTGGTTTCTATGCATCTCTTGTTTTGTTAGTGACTAAAGATAACATATCTTTTCTTTTATGTACACTGAGACCATATGCACCAAGACAAATTCCTTGTGTGTCCAATCACACGTGGCCAATAAAAAATTCTATTCTATTCTATTCTAACCACAATTCCCATATTGTCATGGGAGGGAGGGGACACAATTGTTTTCCTATGACTATGGGAATTAATTTTCCGCATGAGATTTGTTTCTTGTATGATTAGCTTTCCCATTATTTCTGAACTTGGCATATTTAAACATGGAACAATAAGGAAAATAAGGATTAATTTCTTTGAGGGGGGGAAAGCAGAATTTAAACATTTTAACTTGCTGTGGGCATCAAAAGGGAGGGAAAGGAAAAAAATGACAAAGCACGCATTGAACATTGTCATGCAGACTCACCCTGTTTGTACTTATACTACTTTTAGATGTTGCATGCAAGCCCATAAAGCAGGGGTGTCAAATTTGAGGTCCGCGGGTGGATGCATCACATGCTAGCCAAGCTAAGCCCCGGTTTAGCGAAGGGGAGAAAAGTCATGATACGTCATGTGATGACGACATGATGCTGCGAATTTGACACCCCTGCCATAAAAGATGAGGTTGGAGTTGTGATCTCACAACACAGTTTTTCTCATTTGACAAACCTCTAAGTGTTATATATGCCTATGTTTATTGCAATGCAAAACATTTTCTTGAATAAAAGAAACATGACCCACATATATGTTCTCGAGATGAGGTAGTACTTGGGTTGTGGTATAATGTCCCATAAATAAATGAGTAGAAATGCTACAAAGAACTACCATAATACTGCTGAGACTCCACTCAGCATTTTTAAAGAAAGCAATGATACATATTCAATAGTTGTATTACAGGTAATCCTCGACTTACAACGGTTCATTTAGTGACCGTTCAAAGTTAAAACAGCACTGAAAAAAGTGAAACCATTTTTTACAGTTTGTGACTGTTGCAGCATCCCCGTAGTCATGTGATCAAAATTTAGACGCTTGGTATCTGGTTCATATTTATGAGCATTGCTCTTTCGCAAGGTCATGTGATCCCCTTTGGTAACCTTTTCACAAGCAAAGTCAATGGGGAAGCCAGATTCACTTAACAACCGTGTTACTAAGTTAACAACTGCAGTGATTCACTGAACAAAGAAAGGTCGTAAAATGGAGCAAAACTCACTTAACAAATGTCTCACTTAACAACATAAATTTTGGGCTCAATTGTGATCGTAAATAGAGGACTATCTCTGTTATATGCTAAGATATTTGGTTAGTATAATTTTGTCCCATTGTGAACATTATAACATATAATATTTTAACTTACCGCCCGACCATTACACTTTTTCTTTATGTCACAGCTGTAACCCAGCAAGCTTGCATTTACGCACTTATAATCAATACAAGCCTAAAAAGAAGGGAGAAATAGGGGTTTCTTTCAGAATGGTCTCTGAAAGCATGCTTTATCTGCAAATGCACAAAGGTATCAAGAAGAGACTGTCGTCAGATTCAAGAATAACTCTAAACCAAATTTAGCATGATGGTCTTCCCCAAGATGGATAGTGACCTAATACTGAATTGTAACTTTTTAAAGAACATGGACAAAAAAAATGGACAAATCTAAGCCTAAAATGATGATGTTGGAAATGGGAGCAAAGTGAATCTTGTATCTCTGTCATCATGCAACAATATAATTTGTCTGGGTTCAGCTTGATACAAATATGAATCTAGCCACTATGATTTGGAATTTACGGCTTGCAGTTTAAAATTAAGCATGTATCAAGTCCCAAATGATGTAATATAGGTTCTTTTAAGTTTCATCTGTTGAAACAAAGTAAGTGTAATTGGCAGTATTCCCACACAACTCAGTGATGACAAATGATGCACAATAATGTCAGTATGCAAATACAATTATGTACTTGTGTCAATCTGCACATAAATTTGTGATGTGTCCATGATTACATCATTATGCACATGTCATTACTTGTGTCTTTCCTCCTATCTATTAGTGTAACATTATGCTATAGAGACAATTTACAAACAACATTGGATAGTTTTGTACAACATACTGAACAGGCAGTATGTTATACAAAACCTACAATGAATAGGATGTAAACAATCCTTCAGCCTCCAGAATCATGTGGGCAGGATTATAAATTCCAAAGGATAATTCTTTGTTGGTCTTCTTTGTGAGACATTAGAACATGGGTAACCTAAGTCTTACAGAGGTCAGATGCTAATGTGCCATTAAAAACTGAATGAATGCATGAATGAATGAATGAATGAATGAATGAATGAATGAATGAATGAATGAATGAAATCTCCCCAAATTCCAATAATTGGGCTTTTTTACCCATGGTAGTGATTTTAATATACTTTAGCCCCCACTTCTTTGAAAGTGTAACAATATTGCTGAAGTACTTATTACAACTCCCAACAGGGAATGAAGAGGTAGTACGACTTCTCAACTGGAAAAGCTTGCTGAATTCTGTATAAAGTTTTATATTAAATAATAACATGGCTTCTTGATTTTTGGCCTAGCATAAATAAAATACTCAGCCCCTGCTGCATGTAAATCATGATTTACGCTTAGGAGTAACAAATTAACATAGCAAATATAACTGGGTGCCAAGTGCAAACTCAGACAGTGATTCGTTCAATAAAGCAAGGTGTGATTCACATAGGCTACACATTTGTAAGATGCAGAAAACTCTTACTTTTCCTTCAGCACAAGAAGTGCCTTTATGAACCAGTGCTGGATCAGGAATATCTGATCCTAGATCAAATTCAGTGGACACACATGGAATTCCATCTTGAGTCTGGAAATACAACTGGGTTGGGAGATTCTCTTGTTTGAAAGATGTACAATGAATCTTGCCACATAAACTGTTCCTGCAAATAGTAGTAATATTCATTATTATGATGCTTATACATAAGTAAGACATTGTGAAGGAGTATGTTAAATATAAAATGTTATCTTTCATGTTCTAATGTTGAGTACATGCTTATTCAAGGTTTTGTTCACTAGACTTGACGTCTATAAAAACCAATCCTGAGCAAATGGATGTAGATCTTTAAGCAGGAGTAAATAGTTCATGCTGTCCTGTGTAAAATCATAAGTACAGTTTTGGTCACATGATTTTTCACTTAGTGACTGCTTTCACTAACAACCGAGTTGCCAGTCTCAATTGCTAAATGAGAACTACCTATCTAGCTAAAATGTCCTTTCATATGGCTGAAGCTTCAATTTTCAGTGGTTTAAAGAATAGAATAAATAATCTGTGTCAACTATTCATTTCCATATCCTTTTACCAAAGGTTTGATTTCCACCAGTAAGGCTCATGATTCCAAATAAACGTGTACGGTTCTATCATAAGATGTGTCAAGTCCAAAGACCGATCAAATTTATTATTCTGTATTTCTTTAGTAATGAATTCTTCATTGCTAGATACATCAGGAAATTAGCAAGCAGAACTTTGGTGCAAAACGTCTTCTTCTGTTGCCATCCAACAACTGATATCCTAAGACTTGATACTTTTGATTTTTTGAAGTATTATATATTTATCAAGACAAGTAGTGCATGTATTTGACTATGATTCAGAAACACACTGTTTACACCTCCAAAACACTGAAATTACTAGGAGAACATTATGAACAACTGTTTAAAATCATTTAATAAGACAAATCTAGTCTCTAGAGTGGAGGTGGGGAATTATGGCCCCTTTATGACTTGTGGACTTCAACTCCCAGAATTCCTGAGCCAGTTCTGAGCCAGGAATTCTGGGAGTTGAAGTCCATAAGTCATAAAGAGGCCATAGTCCCCCACCGTTGCTCTAGAGCAAAGAAACTTTCTAGTGCTGGCCTCTATTACAATCCTGTAATCTAAATGTAGATACAATGGTTAGAAGGGATGTTATCCAAATGTGGCCAATTGTGAGCTTTATAAATTTTCGTTTACAAAGATGTGGATAAATCCTAGGATTGTGTTATCCCACCACCTGCAGCTACACTACAACAATGATATGCTAGTCTACATAAATACATTAGTGGTAGTCCAGGAATTGTATAATATTAAGAAAACTAAATTATACTCTGATTATTAAACTATGTAATGGTTGCAATTGAAGCCTGTAATTGAATATATAGATAGTCCTAGACTTACAACCAACAATTTTTTTGTTGCTAAGTGAAACATTTGTTAAGTGAATTTTGCCCATTTTACGATCTTTCTTGCCACAGTTGTTAAGTGAATCACTGCAGTTCTTAAATTAGCAATACGGCTGTTAAGTGAATCTGGTTTTCCAATTGACTTTGCTTGTCTGAAGGTTGCAAAAGATAATCACATGACCCTGGAAGACTGCAACAGTCATAAATGTGAGTCAATTCCCAAGCATCTGAATTTTGATCACGTGACCATGGGGCTGCCGCAAAGGTTGTAACTGTGAAAAACAGTCATAAGTCACTTTTTCCAGTGTTGTTGTAACTTTGAACAGTCACTAAATGAACTGTTGTAAATTGAGGACTATCTCTGATAGGAAATTTTGTCTTAGTGAAGTAGGCTGTTGGTATGTTTCTTTAGAAGGAAAAGGAAGAAAGAGTGTAGAGCTCTGACTCTGAATCTTGTTGCCTATTATCCAAATAAGAGCATTCAGTTCAATGGGACTTAATCCCCAACTGAGTATGCATGGAGTCATATAGTCAGAATGTGCCTTCAGAATATAAAACATTTTTTCTGATTACTTACGCTTGGGAACATTTTACAAAATTTGGCCCTTTCATTCCGCAATTGCCAAATCTGTCTCCTTTGCTATTGGCTCTTTCAAAGCAAACATTTGGTCCTTTCTTTGCTCCTACAAAATAAATGAAACTTCATTATTCTATGTCAAGGATAATTCTGACACAACCAACGGGTCACTACATCCTCTTGGCATCCCCATAGCACATAAATCCCCATAAAATGTCTTAAGGAAACCCAAAGACCACATAAACAAAGAAAGGGAATCATCAATAACATGCAATATAAACACAACATTATTTAAGATAGACAGGTAGAAAATAGGCAGAATGCACCCAGGAACATAAACTGGCAAGCAGAAGACATGACAAAAATTCTTTAATCTCTCAACACAGAAAAACTCAACCGGGAAATGGCGTCATTTTAGATCAAGCCAAATTCAAAAATTCCTGGACGCTTGGCATTCTGAGCACATATAGAAACAACCTCATCTATGAACCACAAGTAGTTCTTGACGTAGGACCACAATGGAACCCAAAAGTTTTGTTGCTAAGGGAGATAGTTGTTAAGTGAATTTTGCCCTATTTTACAACCTTTCCTGTCATTACTGTTAAGTGAATTTGGCTTCCCCATTGACTTTTACTTTTCGGAAAGATCGCAAAAGATAAACACATGTCCTCAGGAAACTGCAACCATGAACAAATTGCCAACCATTCAAATTTTGATCACGTGACCATGGTCATAAGTGTAAAAAACGGTCTTAAGTCACTTTTTTCAGTGCAGTTGTAACTTTGAACGGTCATTAAATGAATAGTTGTAGTTGAGGACTACCTATATTTAAATGACTTAACTAAAAATTAAGGAAGGAAGCCAAAATCCTGTCTAGCAACCAACACCCAAACAAGCAGGAAACAACACCAGATAAACAATGGGGGAAGAATGATATCCTAACTAAGAAACCATCAAGAAAGTAACCACACCCCAACCAAGACTGACAGGGCAAGCCACTATATATAAACAACTAGCAATCCTCACTCTCCCACATACTGATGATATTATTTAGTCTGGTGACAAAACATCTATAGGAAAGCAACCAAGCTTGTAACAGAAGAATCCAAACAGATCAACCCCAAATTACATATATTCTTTACTATTGGAATAAAAAAAATCATTTCTAAATAATAATCATCTACATTCCAATACATAAATATTTTCTACAGAACACCTGCCAGCTTATTATCGGTTCTATCGATCACAAATGATTCAAACCATACCTTTTCCAAAGAGGGATTCACACTGAGAATTGTAACTCTCACAAATTCCACTGTAACAGTAATCTTTCATATTATTACATGGGTAGCCATCCATGACATACACATCTTCCGGACAGTCATAATAGGTCCCATTGCAATATTCAGGGAGATCACAGGTATTTGATTTTGGTCGACACTCCACTCCTGCTACCTTGAACTTGAAAACAGAATTTTATTGGTTTTATTGGTTTCTAATTGTAACACACTGACAGCATTCATATGCCTTTAATGGTAGGGGAGAAGGAGAAAGAGATTTGTGAAAAAGAAAGAAAGGTTGGAATCGTTCCTGGGCCAAACTACTGGAACGGTATGCCAGTGATCATATTACTAATTGTTCAGAAAAACCAAACCAAACCTGCAAGATATAATTCTCTTTCAGTCGTACTCTTTATCATATTACACAGAACAACCAACATTTATTGCCTGTATGAGCACAGCCAGATGAAACGCAAATGTACCAGTCCTTGAGCAAGCAGAATTAGACTATCCTCATTGCTGATCTGTATGGTACCTCAGTACCAAAGTCAGCTGGTGCAATCATCCTTACTTGAATATGGGACAGCAACTGGTGGATTTCTCCAGCTTAATTTTCTCTCCCATTTACCAGCTTAACCTCCCTACATGATTATGGATGAACGAGTGGCACGATAGAACTACTATAAAGGATTGTTATGAAGAAGGATAGATGTCTTCTTGAGTTTTGGGAGAAAGGTGGGATATAAATAAATAAGTGAATTAATTAATTCAGACCACAGAATTACAACTAGAGTAGGGGACCTGGGAGATAAAGTCACAGTCCAAGAAGCAAGTAGGATAGATACAGTTAGAGAGAGATAGACACATATAGATAAATTTTCATATATCTAGCTGCAGGATTTTTCAAGTCTGATCATTCCTTTTCTCCATTCTCTCCCTCTCTCCATCTTTCTCCTTCTGAGAATGTAAATAATTTATTGGAAAACTAGAATGTATGTATGTATGTATGTATGTATGTATGTATGTATGTATGCATGCATGCATTTAAATGGAACTTTTCATTAGAATAGACCTGAAGCAGTCAGGTAATTTTTATTTAATTTCTCAGCTCAATCAAGTGACTCTGGGCAGCAACTAATCCTTGTTATGTGACATACACACATACACAGGTCTAAGAAAATGCATTTGTCTTCTCTGGAATTGTCTATTTTTTGCATTCTTTTGCCATCAAATATTATTGGAGCTTCAGATAGATCTTAGTGATACATACAATATAAGGAATTTGAACCAGTGGTGGGTTGCTACCGGTTCGCACTGGATTAGGCGAACCGGTAGCGGTGGCGGGAGGCTCCGCCCACCTGCCTGGACGCTTTTGTGCACGCGCACACGAGCAAACCAGTAGCAATAGGATTTAGAACTTGTCCCTGATTTGAACGAATAAATACTAAAGTTTGGTGCTCCTTCATTTGTTGTATTTAAAAGGTCAACCCATATGTGATATGCCACACAATAGAAGACCCATCCTTTTTACATGAATTGAAGTAATAAGGCTTTGATAGTGTAAACACAGATGCCATCATGACAATGAATTCAAAACAAACATACCTTAAGAAAAATATATTAACTTTGCAATTCTATGTATATTTAAATATTGGGGTACACCTGCTGAACATAATGGGGTTTAATATAAAACATACAAGCACGGGATTGTACTCCACATCTACACAAAGGAGAATCTATTTTACCTGACACTTTTCACAGCACAATCCTTCAGCACATGTTGACCCACGTGTTAGTTTGCAGCTGGCAGCATCACAACAGGGATTGGTACATTCCTGTTAAGAAAATGACTTTGGTTGTATAGTCCATGATCAACTGTTGAAGAAAACTTCCACTGGACTCAGTAAATTCAATATCCTCGTCACTGGGATGTGACTAAAAGAGTTTTATGAAATATTCCCACAGAACTTTGCTTTTTAATTGAAGCATTCTTTTTTAAAAAGCGCCCATTTATAATCATATAGTCAAATCAAGGTTTTATAAAAACCTAAAAAAACGTGCTTGATGGTGAGGAACCTTCTTTTTCTAATGTGATTACTGCAAAATTTTACTAAGGAAAGATTTGACAGAGAAAAGAAAACTTCATGGACACATGGCACAAATCAGTGGCATTTTCCATGTTCATCACCATGAGCGAGGCCAAACAAGACAGAAACTTTTTTGTCAATCTACAGTACTCTTATTTTCAAAAACTGCATTGTTGTTGCATTAGGTCAGTATCAAGGTAGCACTGAGGAGCAAAATACAGCAATGAGCATTATATTACTTCACTTTCAATGCCATAAAACTGTGATGGGGCATAAATGCAACATCTATCTATGCCTCCTTAAAGCAACTGTATCTTTTCCTGGTTTCTAAAAATGATGGGTATGTGGATCCAGAAAAAGACACAGCTGTGCTAAGGCATTCCAGAAAAATCCTTGTAGGGTTAGCCCTAACCCTAACCCTCACGTAGCATTTTAGAACAGAATCTGGAATGTTGCATAGCTGTAGCATTGGTGTTTGTGTGTCTGTATAATTCTAGCATATCAATATTTTAAAATATAAATACAAATTACCTACTTTTGGAGTGCCACAATCACATTCTTCATTCCTATCCACAATGTTATTGCCACACATGGGTTCTGTAAAGATATCGCTCGGCTTGGGAGAATTTCTGAGACAGCTTCCTCCACCTTTCAGGATAAGTTGCTCAAAATCATTAGCACTGCAGCTGCTGAAGTTCCTGGACCCACTAGAAAGAACAATTTTTTCCAGGATATCGAGTAATATATTTCCCATTTTGTGCCTAAATTTTAATGAGTTTACAATTCTACAATTATACTAGACTTCATTGTAACACTAAATCAATGCCCCCCCCACATCAAAATAAATCTGTCTCTGACTGAGAGATACATGATCTTGTGAGCCAGAAACTGGTCAATTGTTGAAATGGGGAAGTATACAAAAACTGAACTCTAATAGACTTGTCATAATTGAAAAAAGAAAACTTCAAGTCTGCACCCCAGCCAATCTAGAAAAAGCTAACAAGTCCAATTGTCTACACCCAGATGATCCCATGATTTTCCTTAAAATGTTAGGCCAGCTTCATAACTTGCAAAATGTGTCTCAGATAGATGAGTCATAATGAAAGCTATGACTTCATTTTTTCCTCTGGCACCATTTCTTATACATGACTTGGCACCATGAATGTGTAAACTAAACTCAGCATCCATTAAGGGTGGGGTATCTCCATCCATTATTTCTCTGTACTCTCTAGGGCAGGGATGGGCAATTGTGGCTCTTTTACAACCTGTGGATTTCAACTCTCAGAATTCCTGAGACAGTCAAGCTGTTTCAGGAATTCTGGGAGTTGAAGTCCACAGGTTGTAAAAGAGCCACAATTGCCCACCCCTGCTCTAGGGTAAAGATTCAGACTATGATTGTTTTCTGTCATTCAGAAGCTTTGTCTCAGTTCAAGATTTTTAAGTGAATTGTTCCACATGGAATTTGTTACTTAGGTCTATCCTAATTTATCCACTTCTACCCAATTCATTCTCCAGAGAAACAGCAGTTTGTTGTTTCCTCTTGAACCATTTAAGAAAAGTTTAAGGAGTCCTGAAATTGTTTTGTTTTCTTTTGATCGATGTAACTGGCCCTATAGGCTCCATGGAATTTGACAAGTATTTTGGATGCTTATAGTCCTTGTCAAAGTCTTTACCTTCTTCAGGAATGAAAATAGCTTATAAATATAATGATTATTAGCATGTACACATAGTCCTCAACTTATAACCATTTGTTTGGTGACCGTTCAAAGTTACAACGGCACTAAAAAAAAGTGACTTATGACCATTTTTCACAGTTATGACCACTGCAGCATCCTCATAGTCACGTGATCAAAATTCAGATACTTGGCAACTGACTCATATTTATGACGGTTGCAGTATTCCTGGAGTCATGTGATTATCTTTTCTAACCTTCCAACAAGGAAAGTCAAAAGGAAAACCAGATTCACTTAACAACTGAGTTACTAACTTAACAACTGTGGTGATTTACTTAACAATTGAGGCAAGCAAGGTTGTAAAATGAGGGAAAAGTCACTTAACAACTGTTTCGCTTAGCAACAGAAATTCTGGGTTCAATAGTGGTCATAAGTTGAGGACTACCTATAATGCTAATCAACCCGACAAATATCTGGGTTTCTGTGAACCCTTTGGGCAGCACCCCTTTTGCATGTCTTTGTTAGATTAATATTCCAACTTTACTGCAAGAGCTTAAAGCATGGGTGTCAAACTCGCAGCGTCACATAATTCTCCTGATGTTTTTCCCCTTCACAGAGCTGGGATGAGCGTGGCCTGCACATGATGCATCCGGCCCGCAGCCGCCAGTTTGACACCCCTGGCTTAAAATGTCATATGTATCATTCCCTTCTCCAATTTTATCCCACAACAACTGCTTTGTGAAGACACTGGACTGACAGAAACCAGATCAAATTACTAAGGAAGTTTTATGAATGTGCTTTGACTTGACCCCAAGTCTCTTCAGTTACAGTCCAAGACCTTGACTTTGTACCACATCAGATCTAGGATAGGTAATTATCTGTGTTTTTTAATTTTCCTTTTTATTTAAAAGATAATAATTTCTGTATTCTACTCCAAACATTGTTCAGTCCTATTATATCTCTATTTTAAGTTTTCTCCATCCCTTGTATTTTTCCTGTGTCCTCTATTCAACATCTGACTTTGTTTCCTTGCCTCTTCCTTTCTCTACTAATGTAGCTAAATCTCGATCACCTGGGTTTAACTAACCAACTTTTACATTAAATGAAAGCTGTATATAAATAGATTCCAAAAATAAATCATATAATTTTAGCCTTCATCGGTTTCTGTTCATTAAATTTAGCATAACTGAAAACATAAACATCCTGTCTTTAATGTGACTCTAGACTTAAAAATAGTTTCAAGAACAAAGATTTCATGTTCTCATCAGGTATATGTGCCTACTTTTAAATGCACAAGTATCTGCGATTGAGAACATATGATAGTATTAAAATATTACTGAAAATATCCTACTAACACTGTATCTCCATTGGATTGCAATGCTTGATTCTAAACTCTCTAATTGATCAAACACCAACAAAGATTTGGCATATTAAACTTAATATACAGTATAATTAAAAAAAACAAACATATATATAAAAATAATGTTAAGCAAATGTTCTTACTTATCTGAACTGTGCATTATATAGGTATTTGGACATCTATCATCATCATGATTCATACCGAGATTATGTCCCAACTCATGTGCAACCACTGTAGCATGACTTATGGGAGAGTCATGATCGAACTGGCAGGAATATTAGCATTGTTAGCACAGGAATGGGGTGGGAGATGATTCTTTTTTTTAAACAAGAAAAACAGCAACAATGGAGAATAGAAAACAACAGCTGAGCTAGACAAATCAAAGTCTATTTCATTGGTCATTTTATTTCCCACTTTGAACTCCAAATTCTGATGGGAAGAAGTCCACAATTAGGAGATGACCACAATGTTACCGTGTTTCCCTGAAAATAAGATCCTATCTTTTTTTGAATCCCGAAATAAGTGCTTGGCCTTATTTTCAGGGATGTCTTATTATTTTGGGGCGCGTGGAGCAAGAGAGGGCTCCTCTTGCTGTCTTACCTGATTTCCAGCTCTGTCTCCCTAACCCTAACCAGAGGAAATGGCGGGGACTGGCTGCACATGCATTTAAATATTTTCGGGGAAGGCTTATTTTCGGGGGGAGGGGTTATTTTAGCGCATGTGCTCAAAAGCCCAATTTGACTTATTATCAGGGATGTCTTATTTTAGGAGAAACAGGGTAGTTGCAGAATTCCATTCCAGCTCAGTTTTGGCACAGCATACTATCACTAAGACTCTCTTTTAAGAACATCTCAACAGGTGGCAATTATGACAGTTCATGGTAATGAATTGCATAGTTATGAAAATTTTGAAAAACTTTCTTTTCCTACTCTTAATTAGACCACCCATTTTTTTTTTAAAAAAAAATCTGTTTTAATTTTCTACCTATCATATACAATTTTATAAAACTCAGTCATATTGTCTCTTATCAGCTTTTTGTTTATCATAAAAAGCCTTATTATTTTAAGCTTTTGCTGTAGGATAACTGCCTTCGCTCTGATTTGGGTTACTTTTCTATGTTCCCGGTTGCTAGTATTATACTTTGTAGGTGTTCAGCATGACTTTGTCAATGGGTTAGTGGTCAACACCAGTATAGGCTTCTGTCAAGTGCTTCTGCTTTCCACAGAAATCTAAACTCAACGTTGAATGTTCAAAATCCTGACACAATGTAATGTAACAGATGAAAATGTTCTCTATGCAAAAGATTCTATGTTTACAACTGAAACGGAATATTATACTTACCGTAGTAATAGACCCTGAGTGATCTATACTACAGACTGTGCCAACAAAAGCCATTCCAACTGTTGAACCAAATGGCCTTCTCCTTCTGAAATTCAGGAACAAATTAAAGGGGGAGATGGGTTGAGATGCCTCTCCAGACTGAATAATGTACACATTTCCTTTATTTATAAATATTTTGGTACACACACACACACACACACACACACACACACACACACAGAGAGAGAGAGAGAGAGAGAGTGTGTGTCTCCCTTACTACAGCACCTTTTCAGATGCTGTAATATTTTAACATTCTGAAAAAAAGTTATTGAATTGGATTTGACCCTCAGCCCATTATTGAATTGACATTGGACCCTCGGCCCATTATTTGATTTTAAGACAGATATAATGTCTTTGGCAGACTGAATATCTTGTCTTTTATGTTAATAGCAGACAGATATAATTATCCATATTGTATCTTTCCCCATGTTAGATTAATCCTGTGATAATTAATGATAATAATAATAATCCTATGATAACAGTTAATGATAATTTAATTAATCTATTGCATAATATGCTATAATAGTGTAAAATATACTATGCTCAAAAATTTAAAAATAAACTTGAAACATATTTTGGGTTATTTTCTAATAGCAAAGAAAATATATATTTTCTTAGGCAATTAGCAGCAAAAATTATTTTTAAATTCTTGCCAATCCCCACAAACAATCCCTGCAAACATAAAACAAGCATATCCACAAAAATCTTTCCCTAAATGATACTGGGATAAATATTTCTAAAATTACTAGAATATTACAACTGTAGAATTTTCACTTTGTTCTCAACATTCCAATATATCTGTATCAGGGGTGGGTTTTCTACTTACCTTTACTACTGGTTCGCAACAGGGCCAAGCGCATGCACTCGCTTCACTCACGCGCACTTCTGCACATGCGCAGAAGCTTCCTGATAATATCAGGGTCAGTGGGCAGAGCCTCCTGCCAGTTTTACTACCGGTTCTATAGAACCGGTCCGAACTGGGGGCAACCCACCACTGTTCTGTATGTATAATATAAAGAAAAATCCTTACATGATGAGATGACCAATATCATTTCTTGATCTCGTAATAAGATTTGTTTTCCTCCAAGTCACAAATCTGCCCAACACGTCTCCAGCTGAATCACCACCCACCTCTATCTGGTTTCCATTTGTCCATATTTCCAATCCAATTAGGACAACTTGTATGTTTAAGGGATGGAACATCTGTAAATATACAATTTATTGCTATTATATAGATTTCAGTAAATTTAGATAATTTCTTCTAAATTGTCCCATCTCTGATTCCATCTCTGATACCCTCTAAGCTGGTGGGAAATATGCCATGCAAAAAAGTATATCTAGTTAGCCAATGAATGTGAATCAGCACACTAACTATGTTTACATATTGGACTCATAGTCCATTTTACCTATGAGTTAAAAAGCAAACCATAATTGACATAATGCACTACCAAAAGGCATAGTTTACAAGTTTCAAGGTTGAGATTTGAAAACCTGGTTACTTAAGGATATTGTCTTTGTTTGAACAGATTCCACAGCATGCAGAAATATGCACCCACCGAGGCTTTGTGGTAGGTAATTCCTGCTAACGTGTACAAATCCTTCTTCAAAATTATCACTCATAATATGAATTATGCTGCATATGTGTTGAACAGCTATAGTCATTTCAAGGAAAAGCAAAAGAATTAATGTAATAAACAAACATTTTAATCCAAAAGTTCCTGTCTCCCAAAATTTACTAGTTATGCTCTCACAAACTATTTGTGATAACAAAGGGGTAAGGTTCATAGCAGGAGGAATCTTTGTACAACCATGAAAGGCGAGCTAGAAAAATCTTCCTACAACAGACTAATTTGTATAAGAATTGCATGACTTCAAGAAAAAGGATTGCCTAAGAAAGCAAAGCCTGATCTCTGGAATGGGATTCTAATACTTATAGGAAAGGTTTATCCATCATTATCCAATTATGCAGGAAAGGAAGGTGACATTTTATAAGCTGTTGAGGTGAACTTCTCCCGATAAGCTACTACTCTCCATATATATTAAAAAAAATTATAAACACTGTTTCCCTAATTGTTCAAATAATTGTTTTACATGCTGTGTTTTTCCTAATACTGGGGGAAATGGCAGTCACACAGACCAAAAAAGATTTAGGTTGTAAATCCCAATCAGTTCAGGAAATAAGATCATTTGCTCTTCAACTTGTTTCTCTGTGTAAGCAAGATTAAAAAATGATAATAAAATAAATACCTAGAACTTAGCCTGATTTTATTTATTTATAAAAAAGTTTGTGCTGCCTATTGAAACAACTCTTAACACTTAATTACATATTATTGACATGTAATTTTTACATAAAAAGAAATATTATAAAAATGCTACAAGCAATATTAAATATAAATATTAAAATTCTAAGGACAGCAGTAGGTTTTAAGTTTTGTTCTGAAGAATAACAAGAAAGGCCCTGGCACAATTCATATATATATGTAGATTCCTTTAATAGATCACAATCTCATTCTTACAAATACATTTGCTTTTGTCTGGTATATGTATTTCATGAAGTTAACAGCAACAAAGCCTATCTATAAATGGAATTATGTTACATAAATAGTATCTAATTTTTGCAGCATCAGAATGTAAAAGTAACTTCTGTACCTTGGGTTTGGTTTTTTTAAAACCTATGTTGTGATCAGCTTCAATTATGGAAATTACATTATTGTTCTATTTTTATTTTCTCTTAAAAAGTGACATAACAAATGAATAACAAATATGCTGACTTACCCCATCTACATAATTAATCAATTCAACTGTTTCTTTCTGTACAGCTTCAATAGTTCTTTTGAATAAATACTAAAATAATTAAAGAAAGAAGACATTCTAATCAGGAAAGGCAATTAGGAAATTTTTAAAATCCCATAGCAACATTGATCCACCAAAAAAATCTAAAATCTAAAATTAGGTAATACTGTACTTTCATATGGACCAACCAATTTAACACAACTTAAGTATCATTAAATTAAGGCCATTAGTCATCTATTTATCTCTTGCTTAGGGCGAAACTCAACTTTTTGTCCTGGCAGAAATAAAAACTTATTACTGTGTTCATATCAGCAATGGACTGACAGAGAAATTCTGAATATAATACCAGGAAGTATTATAGAGAAATTACCCTGTTGTTATCAACAACCATATAGAGTTCGACGTATCGTTTCTCTGGCAGCACAGTTCTTCTTTTCTGTAAAATTGAAAACAGACCCCAATCACATAGCTGTTTTATTTGGAATTAGTTCAAAATTATAGTTCAAAAGTTAAGTAAAAAGTTAACATCAGGCATTTAAACCCAATTCATGATGTGAATTGTTTCAGACAACTATTGTTGTCTGAAAATAACCAATCTCATTTAGATCGGTCAAACAATTATTTTCAAAATCAAATCAAATCAAATCAAACTTCCTTGTTTGCTTCTAGTATTTCAATTCAAACTGGATTTGGGATCAAACAGTGAGGCAGCAGTACATTTTCCCCTTTTTTTCAGAGAATTATCTGAATTTGACTTCAGGTGTAGTAACTCAAGATACAGAATTTTAAATTATTATTTTATCTTTGTTTCCCACCTCCTTTCCAAGCATTATTTAATTTCAGAAAGAAATAACATGAGGAAAAATGTCCTTGGTGTGAAGTAAATAAATTGCTAAAAGCAAAAGAGCTGTGGCTAAAATCTAGAACACATAGATTAAAGCATGCAATATTTGAAAAAGAAGATAAAAATATGTTTACCCTTCGAAGTGTATCCTTACTGAAAGGATAATGAGATATATTAGTGTATTTCAAAATATGTTCATGATACTGGTCATCATTTTGTACACCACAGGAAAAAGGTTCATGAGATTTATCTAATACATAAAAAAAGTGTTCAAATTTATTTGATCCCTTAACTGGCTCCATGCCATATTGCTTGTCACCAATATAGAGGATTCCCCTAAAAAGGACAAGAAAAGTTATTTAATCAAAGGCCAGCTATATAAACAAAAATAACTCTAAATAAGTATACAACGTAGCAATATCACAGTACAAATCTATTAGTTTCTCAATAAGGAAATAAAATGATAAAAGCAGAAACTTTTGCGCACGTGGAGAAGCATTTTCATGACGTCAGGGTCAGAGGGCGGGGCCTCCCGCCAGTTTTACTACCAGTTCTATAGAACCGGTGCGAACCAGGGGCAACTCATCACTGATCAGGGTTGTGCCTGACCTCAAGGGGCTGGGCTGGGTGTGGCCAGGGTGGGCGTGGCCAGCTCGATATCACTCATGTCAGGGGCACCTGTGGTGGTCCAAGTGTTCTGCCAGTGAAAACTGGTTCCTGAGCTCCATTTCTGGCTGCAACTGCCTCCTGCAACCCTCTGCCAGTGAAAATGGAGCTCGTGAGGGCCACACGTGTCCCTCCCGAGCTCTGTTTTTGCTGACAGAGGCACCGCGGGCCTGTCCTTCGCTGTTTCCCAGGCAGCTCCATGGGCCACATCTAGGCACCCCATGGGCCGGATCCAGCCCACAGACCTTGAGTTTGACACCCCTGCACTATCATAACAATTCCTTATTCTCCAAACAGTCCATGATAGCAAAATGAAGATGTTGTTGTATCTACTATGGTTGTGGAATGGGACAATCCTCAGCTTTTCCAACCCTTTTAATCTATGATTAAATGAAAGAATAAAAAGAATAGAGGAGAGTGGGATCTTAGTTATCTAGTTATCTCATTTTGCATTCCAGTGTTAAAGAATGAGACAGACAAAACATTTAGTTTTGGGTACTACTAGAGGAATTAAAATAAGTTCCCCTTATTTGAGTGAAAGCTCAGAAGCAAAGATTGGATGAAACAAGATACAAAACAACAGAGTAGGTTCAGCTATACCACAGCTGAGTCAGAAATGTCTCAGCAAAACTCTTCAAAACAAGTTATATTTGTGGGAATCTCGACTGCAGAGTTGACTTCAAATTAGCACAGAATATGAAAGCGCCCCAGGCCTCACTTTCCTCTGTTGCATTGAAAACTACTTGTCTGCAAGTACTGACAAAAAGAAAAGAAGGATTATACCTAAGGCCATCACAGGTACTGAGAGCAAGCAGAGAATCTGGAACGCCTTCAACATTTCCACGGTAGTAACAGTGGGTCTGAAATCAGATAGTTAACAGCAGTTTTCATAAGGCAAACAGCAGATCCAATTTATTATCTAATGGAAATAAGGATGCCATACAGGTAGCCCTCAACCTATGAACACCATTGGGACTGTAATTCTGTTATTAAACAAGATGATTGTTAAGTAAGCCATGTCCAATTCTACAATCTTTTTTTCCCATCGTTGTTAAATAAATCAATGCAGTTGTTAAATGAATTGTGCAGTTGTTAAGCAAATCTGCTTCCCCCATTCACTTTGCTTGCTGGGAAGGTCACAAATGGAGGTCATGTGACCACAGGACACCAAAACCATCGTAAAATACATGCTGGTTGCCAAGTGCCAAATTTTAATCATGCTGCCATAGTTATAAGAGCAAGGACTACTTATAAACTACTTTTTTCCCGTGTCACTGTAACAGTTGCTAAATGAACAGTTGTAAGCCAAGGACTATCTGTATTCACTCAGTTCCTAAGGCATGTGTAATACAATTCTGTGGATTGTAATGCAGGTAATGTTTATCGTGCTATCTTAAAATGATCTGTAACATGACCAAAGTCAACAGACCTACAACAGTAATAGAACAATACAGAGTTGTTTTCATTTCCTGCTTCTCTTCTTGCCAAGCATCACTTGAAAACAGAGATTCCATGCAGGTACTTACACCCAGCGAAAGGAAAGATGTAAAAGGAAAAATGATAAATCTCCACAACATGCTTACCATGGAGGCACCGAGGGCAATGAGTTGATCTGGGGCTCAAAAGAAGTGAATTGTACAGTATTTTTTAGATTCATGATATCTATCCCTCCCATGCCCAATAGGAAGAATATTCTGGGGATGCTATTTTCTGTGGGAGTCCTAGAACATCAGTCAGAAATATTTGCAACTCAAATTCACAGGCAAGTTCAGACTGAGTAATAAAGTTTCTTATAAAATTGGTTATTAGTTGTATGATAAAAATGCTGCTAGTAAAAGAATATAGTTCCCTAAGATATATTGTTTAACTTCCCAGACTATTAATCATCATGGCAAAGGAGGAAATACAGTGTATTCCAAGAACCAAATACGACAAAATAGCCTTGGCACAGAAAAGTGGTTTTCTGCAATTAAATGATCTTTTTCTCGTGTTTCACACATGCTAGAATACAATTTACACCATATCCAGCTAGAAGGACCATTGGAAAAGGTTTTGTACAACTCAGAGCCTTATTTTTTCATTTATTTTTTTACCTTTCCTTCAGGAACTCAAGAAGGCGTATTTGTCACTGTTCATGCCCCTCATTTATCAAAACAGATGGATCAGCAGTTAGCTCCCAGCGACTGGTAAGATCCCACAGAGTTGGTCTCCTCCGGGTCCTGTCAGCTAAACAATGCCGGCTGGCGGGCTCGCAGGGGAGGGCCTTCTCTGTGGCTGCCCCAGCTCTCTGGAACCAATTATCTCCTGAGATCCGGACTACCCCCACCCTATTGGCCTTCCGGAAAGCAGTGAAGACCTGGCTTTTCCGGCAGGCCTGGGGCCGTTGATCTCACTGTTGCAAACTTGTAAGATCCGGCCATGAATGATGTGCATGGGCTTTTAATATTTTGAAAATGTTTTCATAATATTTTTAATAATTTTCTATGTTCATTGTCGCATTACTTTTGTTGTAAGCCGCCCAGAGTCCCTTGGGAGTTGGGCGGCATAGAAATGTGATAAATTAAATTAAATTAAATTAAATTAAAAATGCTGAGCTTGTCAGCTGGAAAGCTGACAGCCTGGGTTCAGGACCCAAGCGCTGTGGGACAGGATGTGTTCTTGTTACTTGCTCTAGTTTCTGCCAATTTAGCAGTTTAAAAGCATGTAAATGCAAGTAGATAAATAGGTAACACTTCAGTAGGAAGGTAACAACATTCTGTGTGTCTCGGTGCACAGTATATTTGTGCTGGTCACATGACCACAGAAGTGTCTTTGGACAACACTGGCTCCCTCGGATAAGAAATGGAAATGAACACTGCCCCTTAGAGTTGGACACAACCAGACAGGGGAAACCTTCACCTTTACCTTTAATAATAAAAACTAGAATAAAAAGTTGGCTTCTTCACAGATACAACATACCTGAGTTTCCACAGGAGTACTCTCCAGCTTGCCCTCTTGGTTATAAGTATATATTGTGAACTTTTCCCCAAGAAGGTTTCTGCAACAAATTTCAATTCAATAGTACTTTAAGATGAAGGCTATTCATCAATGAATTATAACACTACAACACTTTAATACACTGGTCAAAGTTCATAATAAAATTTACCCATATACCAATATTTTACTGAAATATAAGCTGGATTTGATTTTTTAAAAAAAATATTAAGTAAACATTCAAGCATTTTTAAATATGGAAATCTAATCATTTTAAGCAATGGTAGTGCCATATCCTATTAATCCGTCATGTAATGTAATGTTACAATGTAATATTAAGCAATGAATTAATACAATAATGATTCATAATCATTAATAGTTAATTATTAATAATTATTATTCTAGTAATACAGGAAAGGAAGCATCCCATGTAGTTTAGCAAAGTTCTCAGTGGTCAGAATGTAATTCTATACTGTGATATCCTTCCATCATCTTAAGACTTTCCCTAGTTAATAGGAGGAACACCTTCATTCCCTAAATAAGACACCAGGAGTTCTCACTTTTATTGTGCAATTACCCTGTTCATCATTTAAAAGCCTGCCAATATTATCCTGCATTTATTACATTTTGATCTTTTTTCTATGACTATTTTCATAATTTATGTTTCGAGAGAAAATCAAGGTGGAAAAGAAGAAATAACTATGCAATGCCTTGGAGCTTAGTGCTAGATTAGCCCTGCAATATATTTGTGCCAAAATTAATTCTACAATAGTTATTGTGTAATAAACTTAAAATGCCAAGTATTTTGAGCGAGCAGCATTCCAGTAGGTATTGCCAAGATATTATATATCCTGAGTTACTCTCACAAGCTATTCCTGTGGCATGCTTGTTCAAGTCAGCCACTAAGCATGTCAGATTTCCTTACTGAAAGGAAACTAACCCAATTCAGTTAACCCCTTTTGCTGTTTTAAGTCACATTTAATCATCCCATTGATCCAGTTATGCATGTCATGTAAATAGAGCGATGAAGATGTTCCAATAGATATATATGATTTAAGGTAAGATTTTATGATTTAGATACAGATTTCTTGGTCTTTTGCTTTTCACACATATTACTTACGGGGTACTGATTGTTGTATAACTCGACTGTATTACAGTTACCAAATCCTAACTGACAATGTATTTATCAAGACACTATTAGCAAGTAATGTTTTAACTTGTCTCTCCTATTTTTTGTTTCTTATGCTTTGTCCTTAAATGTTCTGAAATGACAAGGAAGACTTGTATCATTTTCACTGTATGACCTAATGCTCCATTGAACTAAATCCAGTTCAGCTAGACTGGATTCCATAAGTCCCATCTGTTTCTCATCTGCAAAAGCCATCTGCATTTTACAAAACTTTTCATTCTGATAACATATGCTCATTAAACATAGGATCCACACCCAAAATATTTTCTTTCCTCAGGCACCTACAATAAAGTTATTTCAGCCCACAATCTAGCATAACTTCTCAGTACTTGTGAGATAAAGAATATTCTGGGTTTTTTTTTACTCAATATCTCATTCCTAATAGAATATTCTATCTGATCTCTGTGCTAGCAAATGAATTCTTTAAAGGGTTTCTTCTATTGTATTTTACTTTTCAAACTGCTTATTTTAGTGAAATTCTCATATCCCTCAAAAAAAAAGTTAAAATAAAATGGAAAAAAGATTCAGAACTGCATCTAACATACTTATTTTTCTTTAATTTCAGAATGTGTGTTCCATTTCCAGTTTGGATCAAGTAAGATAGCTGATCATCTAAGTGTTCCTGAAATATAATCAGAAAAATATATATACGTAAAGAACATTTGACATGTACTTCACAAATTCTTTGAAATAGTGCTGTTGCTTACCAAAAAAACCCTTATGCTGGTACAGTTATGCTTACTTTTTAACCATAAAATAAATCAAACAGCGCAGTCCGGCTTGACATTTAGCATACTGTATGTTTTACTGTATCTTCTCCAACTTAGTTGCATCTAAAAACAAAATGTGTGTGTGTGTGTGTACACATACATACATATACATACTGTATGTATGTATACATGTATGTATGTATTTTGGAATTTAAAAGAGCCATAGTGGCACAATCAGAATGCAGCACTGCAGGCTACTTCTGCTGACTGCCGGCAGTTTGATTCTCATCGGCTCAAGGCTGACTCAGAGTTCCATCCTTCCGAGGTCAGTAAAAAGGACCTAGATTGTAAACAGCTTAGAAAGGCTGTAAAGCACTGTGAAGTGGTATATAAGTCTAAGTGCTATTGCTATTGCTATTTATGTATGGTATAAACATACATGGCCTTACAACATGTATTAACATTTCACCTAGATTAAAAACATCGTAAAATATTAATTTTTTAAAAAATATATACAGTATTTGGATACCAAAGTCTAGGCCATCTAACCATTGAAGCGCAGCATCGTTTATCTGGGGAAAAAAAGATACTAGACGGATATATGCCCTCTGATAACAGCTGGTCACAATGTGATCTACAGTTTGCTGTGAGACCCCACAGTCACACTGAAGGGAGGATGCTATGTCCCATTTATACAGTGAATCCCGGCAGATGCCAGATGAGGTGCAAATCCTATTCAAGTTACATATACATATGTAGACAGTTAGAAAGCCCCAATATAAATCTGCAATGCACATACAGACACATTACGCCAAGGTTGCAAATCTACATAGTGTAAATTATATTCTGACAATGTAGCTAAATTCACTGGATTTCTTGATGGACTAACATGGAGAATAGAATATGCTGCCACCTTTCCCCAGCATGTTTTGCAATAGCAATAGTGCTTTACAGCCCTTTCCTAAACGGTTTACAGGGTCAGCATATTGTCCTCCTTTTACTGACCTCAGAAGGCTGAGTCAACCTTGAGCCGGTCAGGATCGAACTCCTGGCAGTTGAATGCAGAGTTAGCTTAATATTGAATGCAAATACTGCATTCTAACCACTGTGCCACTACGGTTCTTGATTCGATTGCAACAATGATGTTACTGTTGCAGTCAACGTACTCCATGGACTCTTGGCTTGTTCAGATTCCTCCCATTTCTTCTTGGGTACAAGGCTAGTTCTCTTTGACATCAGAGAGGTCCTAAGGATCTGCTGGATCCAATGTTTTCCAACTCCTAATCTCAAGGAGATTAATTTATATACATTCTAGACCTGCTATGAAGACATTTGTTCCGGAAAGATGGATGGATGGATGGATGGATGGATGGATGGATGGAAGAAGGGAGGGAGGAAAGGGTTCTTTTCTTTTAATGGCAGTGTTATACTATCCAGACTTTATATATGTTGGAATATCTAGCACTGGAGTCCTCTAAACTGAATGATAGGACTGCTGTATCTGGCTAAAATGTTGATTTTAGTTGATGATTGATTGAAATGTTGATTAAAAAAGTGATAAAATATGTGACAAAACATTTTCTTATTAATACTAATAGTGGCTCTGCAGTACCCTAAATTGTCTGGCAATAGCAACTAAATCAATATAGTGCTATTTCCTGGTTTTGTTTAATTAGGATATAGATTGACCAACAATGCATGTCTTGTCTACTTATATACATTGTTAAATAATGTAGCATATTATCTGAGGAGCATCACAGGAATGAAAATAACAAATAGAAACAAACCTCATTAAAATGTGTCCAGCGCTTCTCCCTGTCTGTTAATCTTCTAGGAATTATAATCTCATATGTGGAATGCCTAGAGATCTGTTGAGTATGTCCACCTACAAATATTTTTTTTAAAGTTAGTATAGGGAGATTTTCCAATAACTTCTTAGTTTTATTAAGTACAATTATAAAGAATACAGAATTTAACTTTACAACATATTTATAATAACTAAGAGAATCCACAAATCAGAAACAAGGTAGTGACACTTTCTCAGACTAACAAATTTTATTAAAACCGGCACATCAGATTTGGAAAGCGGCTAAATTGATGTAGGACTGAAATTGGAAAGAGGCAGTCGATTCCCCAGAAATATCAATGATTTCCTTGCAGTATGGGGGAGACAATTCTTGCTTAAACAACAGAAGCATCTAGCTCTGGGCCTAGAAAGTCAACTCCATCTTCTCCACTTCCATTTATTTTACCTCTACACTTTGTGCATAAGCATGAGAAGTTCAAAGAAACCAATTCAGCAAAACCAGGGACAGTTTCTTGGACAGCTGAGAATTGCGGACAACTTGACAAGGAGAGGAAAAAAAAATGGGTTTAAAGTGAGCAAATGAATAATCCAGCTAAAGAAAACCTGTGCGTAATTCAATCTCTCTCTCTTTCTCTCTCTTTTCAAACACCGAGGACGCTATTTCATTTTGACAAATAGCCTTTTCACAAGGGCACCACGCTCAACTTTTTCTGTCATGCTCAGCATCATTACTCGTGACAGCAATGGGCATTTTAAAGAGGCAGAGAGCTCTCCCTCCCTTAACCCCTTATTAAACCTTTTCTCTCCACCTCGGTCTATATGGCCGTGTCGATTCTAAAAGTTCATCGGGAAACGAGAAATGTGCTTCACAGCTGCCCTTCAACAAACAATGATAACTGCCAGTCAACTCTTTCACTGAAAACGCCTTTGCTGGGAAGCGGACTCACTGACAGCATTTCCTTCCATATAAGGAACCTCCAGGTCATTTCCCAAGAACTCGGGCTTGACCGTTTTTTTAGCTGCCACTCTCCGCTGCTCTTTTCTTTTAAAGCCGTCCGAAAGCCAACCAAGACCATTACTTGCCCAGGGCTACGACTTGTTTTCCCACGGCGCTGAGTCCCAAGGCGAGGAAGTTCAGGTAACAGGCTGCTAACATGATCTGCTCTGCCAGCTTCGAAGACCGAGGCGGGGAACGGCCCTGGAGGAGTTCATCCGACGACTGCTGGTAAACAACGGCGCTTGAAACCTTAGGCGCCCAGCGGGAGGAGTTCACAAACCCCTCCCCACCGACGGGGGAGCGCCGGTCCTGGGATTGATCAACTCGTTCCGCCGCCTTTGGAGCATTGACCACGTGCGCGGTCGGAGATTGATAGAGCCGAGCAGCAGCGAGCGAAGCCGGGGAAATTATCCCCCCCACCTCCACCCGTCCCCGAAGCCGTTTTTAGGAAGCAAAGAGAGGTGGGGGTGGTGGTGGGGGGGAGTTTTCGCAGAAAAGGAAGTTAAAGACAAGTGTTTTTTGGGGTTTATTTTAGACGATTTCAAGCCCGGGTTGCTTCTGAGGTGGGATAGTGAGTCTGTACAGATTCTCAGTCATCGAGGTCATGATTGGATGAGAAGCGAAAGGTCTTCAATGGAAAACAAAAACCGAAAAAGTCCAGTTGCCTCCTGAAAAAGCACCTTTGGGATGTACTGAGGGTGATGATGGCCAGCCAACAAACCGTGATGGCGTCTTATATATATATAAAAATAAATAAATCTCATTTACACTCTAATAAAGAGAGCGCGTCCCCCTCGTGCGTTTAGATTCCAAGAGGTTGAAAACTTCGAGGTGGGGTGGGGAGGCTTTCCTTATAAGGAAAAAGACCAAATTCCAGACCCAGAAGGAAGCGAAAGTAAGTAGCTTAATCATACTGTGGTTAGAATCAGCGTTTCAACATTTCAGCCATTTCAGTATCTTCCATTTCAGGGAAGTCCACACAGTTTAAAGTTACTGAGGTGGTGGTGTTTTTTTAACAAATTAACAGAGCAGCTTTAAGACTTGTGGACTTCAACTCCCAGAATTCTCCAGCCAGCTATGCTGGTTGGAGAATTCTGGGAGTTGAAGTCCACAAGTCTTAAAGCTGCCAAGTTTGAAGACCTCTGCCCTACATCATTTCTGACAGATGGCAGTTCAATCTTTCATATACACACACACATATACATGCCTTCTCCAATCCACAAAGGATTGCATTAAAATGTCCAGCTCTGCTATTGTTTATCCAGGGAGGGACACCTGAAAGTTTCCTACACTTTTAAAGGTACCATTTACATTTTTTTCTCTGATGCTTTACTATTAATAGATGGCTTTGCTAAAAGTAATATATGCAAAAGCAAAACAAACACTTCCTCCAACAGTGGTTAATAATGGTCAATGTGCACTTCATGAGTAATCTATCTATCACCTGCAATGTATTTTGCTGTTTCTGAATTAGCTCTATTGGATATCATGTTGCTAGGATTGTACACCAGTATCTGCTGCTTGATTTTTGTGTGTGTGTTATCTGTGACAGTGTAAGACCTGTGGTCTTCTTCTTGAATACATTCAATTTTTCTAACCATCAGGTTCTTTTTCAATGACTATTGCTTTCAGTTGAGCATTTACAACATTTCAGCTTTAGCATTACTAGTGCTTCCAGTGAACAACCTGGTTTTACTTCACCTATGGAAATATTTGTTTTTGTGGTCCAAAATATGATCAGCTATTTTCTTCAGTATCACAATCCAAAAGTATCCATCTTTCTTGTTGAGATCATCATCTTTCTGATGATCATCATTCCTCTGTTAATAGATTGATATCTCTATATGTTAGTATTTGTCTAGATCTGTCATTAGTTGTTTTCTCATAATGGTTACCAGCTGTGTGAATTTTAAAGTCTAGCAGGATAAACATACTTTAACTTTGCTTCCTATCTGTATTGGGTTGCTTTTATCTTTGACATTATTTCTCCTTTTTGTTTGTTTTATGTAATGTTACACAGCAGTCCAGTTTTTGCTCATTTTTCTTTTACCTTCAACATGGAATTTCTTAAATTTTCCTCAAATTTATCCATCAGCAGAGTTGAGTTGCTTAAATTTCTCCCAGCAAATTTCCCAGTATCTCCAATAAAGGAGAATATTTGTAGCTCAGAGTTGAAAGGAGGGGTCCTTAGTGCTCTCTGAGCTTGCTTGTTTTCTTGTAGACATTTCATTACCCAAACTATGTGAACACTGATGAGGTTACCTAGTTCGGTAATGAAGTCTGCAAGAAAACAAGCAAGCTCAGAGAGCACCAATGACTCTCGTTCCCAGTGTCTGTTTCTTCTAGTCCAGCATTTCTCACAAAATATTAAGCATATAAATTAAATAGATAAGGGAATAGTGTGTAGCAGTGGTATATCCATTCCCGATCATGACTCATTTGGTTGCTCCATATTCCATTCTAGCTGTTACCTCCTGGACATTGATCTTCAATATGAACATCAGATTCCTGATATACCCATGACTTTATTTATTTATTACACTTATAAGGCTGCCTGACACCATCATGATTTTTTGTGTGGCGTACAAGATTAAAGCCATTTAAAACAATACAAAATAACAAGGCGCAGCAGGAGAAAAATGAAGAGTTTCCAACAAACTATTCATCACAGAAAAGGCTCTGTGTCTGTTGCCTTTGGCTTTCTAACTTTCTTCCATCACTTACAACGTTTTAGCAAACAGCTGGTTCTCCTTTTGTTTTCTGCATTTTGAGATGGTTCTGTTTGTTCATATTTAATGATGTCACAAATTTCATTTCACACTTCTTCAGGCATTCTGTCAACTCTAACCCATTATATCTATTTTTGTTTACTTTCATTGCATAATCGTATGAAATATTGCTGCAGTTTTCACTTGTAGGTCTTATGATTTTGCTTAAGCTATACATTAGCAGGGAGCTTGTGATCTGAACCACAAGTCTTGCTTTGGTTAACTGAAGAGTTTTGACATCTTTGTTTGTGGGTTATATAGTTATTTGGGTTTCTGAATAATTCTTCTGTTGATGTCCCTGGATGTTACTGCCATGTAGGTGGGAAATAAATGTGTAGATTGTACTATGAACTATTTCACATAAATCAACAAAGAATCTGACAGATATCCTCATCACCCTTATGAAATGTTATAAAACCCCGGACAGGTAATGTCAAGGTTTCCTCAAGGTGAATATACTTGACACATTAATTACATAATTGTACTAAGCGATAAGAAGACATAACTGCTTTGGGAGTGGAAGCAGTTATGAGTTATGAGTCAATTAAATATTTGATTAATTTCAGTACTTATTTTTTCTAAATGCAGAAAGTACCTATGTATGATGGTCTCAGCACCTTTCAATACCATCACTTTTTTTTAACTAAGTGGTTTGACGGAGAGATATTTTATGCTACTTTATTCCTTGGATAATTGATTCCAGAAAGTAAGCATGAAAATTCTTGCTCTGTCAGTATAGGTTACATAGTCTCTAGGATTTATTGTATTTTCCCCTTCTTTCAAGGTTGACGGAAGAGCTTGTTTCTTTCATCTAAAGGCAAGGAAGATGCTTCTGGATCAATGTTTGTGGTGTAATGGCTTGACTGAGGGTCAAGGAACTGAAAACTCAGATGTGAATGATTGCAGATGACTTTTGCTTGCCAGCTAAGCAAAATTCATTCTATTTTTGAAATAGTGGAACTTCCCTTGAAAGGTCAAACTCATACTTTGAGGGGAATATTCCTAGATCCAGCCCAGAGTGCCTGTTATAACCTAAAGATGATACACCAACTACAATCCTATTGAAAGAAAAGTAGTCTTCTGGAAATTATTTATGCAATTGAGTATTTCCCCATTTGAAGTATGAGAAAGAGTTCTTGGATGAGCCCCCCCCCAGTTGTTATTTTGTAGTATTCATCTATTTCAGCCTTGAATTATGAAAAACCTCTAATCTAGGGTGGATTACAATAAAACTACAATAAAATTCTTTTATTTGTTTGAAAATTTGTTGAAGGACTCTGGGTACCATCCCCAATCAGGTGAAAGTGGCAAATTTTTAGATCAGTTAATGTAGAAGATATTGAATTTGAGATAAGAGCAATTAATTATTCCATATGGCGTCAGGTAGATATCTTTTATTTTTCTAGTCATTGAAGAAATGGGGTGCTTTAGATCTTTTATTTATTCTCCATTGCTAGCTTGATCTGTGTATTTATATTTATTATAAAATATAATTTATATATTATATTATTAGAAACGTTATTTCTGTTATTCTATGAATCAATAGTTATGTCCATAAAAGAGATCAAATGTGTGTGTGTATACACATGTACACATACCATGTTCACTAGTTGTTTGCAAAAAAAAAAAAAAAAAAAAGGCAGCAGGAACAAAAACATGGAACTAAACGGTTCTTTTTTTTGTTCACAAGGAGAAATAGATTTTAAGAATAAATTTTTGCCTGTTTCACAATTTTCTATAGAACAGCCCAAATTAGCTTCCTTCATTTTTGTTAAAAAGTCTAGTGAATCATATAAGAAATGTCTTTGGTGGAAAATATTGACAAAAGATAATATTGACAAAATATCTACAAAAGATTCGAGCAATTCAAAGCATATTTATTTAATAATATATAGGTAGTCCTTGACTTACTAATTGGGACTGGAAGTAGGAAACAGACTGAACAGATGTTTTCTCTTTGTGGAATGAAAGATATAAGGAAGATAGAGAAGGGAAGGCACCTAGATTTTTCTGCCTTCTTTTTCAAGTTCACCTGAAGGAATCCTTCCTGTTTTAGATTGGTTGTTCAGCTTGAGTTTCTTGGGCTGTAGAGTTTTCTGCTGTTTAGACCGGGGTGTCAAACTTGTGTTGTCACGTGACTATCGGGACTTTCCCCCCCATTCGCTAAACCGAGCAGGGGCGGAGCCAGCACGTGATGCATCTGGCCCCCGGGCCGCGAGTTTGACACCCCGATTTAGACTGATAGCATTAAGTTTGATTAACTCTTATGCATTTACATATTTTCTACCCCTTTCACAATTGCCATTAAGCAGATTTAAACAACCTATGGTTTTCCTGCAGTGCCAGAAATAATCAACCGAAGTACCAATATTTGCCCATGAATCAAAAAGTTTACAAGTGGATTTCTAAAATACTCCTTTTAGCTTCATTCCTTCCTGTTAATTTTATCCCAGATAATTCAGCTCTTTATTCTTTATTTCATCCTTTTGGGAGCTCCTTGTTTAGCTCTTTATTATCTCCATTTGTTTTCTAACTTTTAAGCACATCATGTAATGAAAATTGTGTTTATAAGACATACTTATTCGTTAACTTAACAATAGTTTACTCAAACCAATTTTGAGTTTGCCTGACAAAATGAACCATCAATTTTTGG